TTAGGGGTTTACGCCAATGGATAACAAGGGAAAGAGACGTGAAGGGAGGGGGTTTACCCATGGATACACAAGGGGAAAGGAGACGGGAAGGGTAGTGGGTTTTACCCATGGATAACAAGGAAAGGAGACGTGGAGTAGAAGGGCGGGGGTTTACCACTGGATACCAAGGGGACAGGAGACGTGAAGGGAGGGGGTTGGTTGTACCCTATTGATAACAAGGGGACAGGAGAAGTGCCGGGAGGGGGGGTTTACCCACTGGATACCAAGGGGACAGGAGCTGTGAGGAGGGGGTTTACCCACTGGATACCACGGGGATACAGGAGACGTGAAGGTTGAGGGGGGTTTTTTTAAGGGGAAAGGAGAAGTTGAAGGAGTGGGGTTTTACCCACTGGATAACAAGGGGAAAGGAGACGGTGAAGGGAGAGGGGGTGTACCCATCTGGATCAAGGGGAAAGGAGGACGGGAATGGGAGGGGGTTACCCACGGATAACAAGGGGAATAGGAGACGTGAGGGAGGGGGTCTTAAACAACTGTACCAGGGGACAGGAGACGTTGAAGGGGGGGGTTTTACCCACTGGATAACAAGGGAAAGGCGACGTGAAGGAGGTGTTTACCCACGGGAATACCAAGGGGGACAGGAGACGGTGAAGGGAAGGGGTTTACCCACTGATACCAAGGGGGAAAGGAGACGTGAAGGGAGGGGATTAAGGGGAAAGGGACGTGAAGGGGAGGGGGTTCCCCAATGAGATACAAGGGATCAGGAGACGTGAAGGAAGGGGGTTTACCAATGGATACCAAGGGGAAAGGAGAAGTGATAGGGAGGGTGGTTTACCACTGGATATCCAAGGGGACAGGAGACGTTGGAAGGGAGGGGTTGATGTTAAGGGGAAAGAGCCTGAAAGGGAGGGGGTTTTACAACAATGGTACCAAGGGGAAAGGAGCCGTGAAGGTAGGGGGTTTACACACTGAATAACAAGGGGAAAGGAGACGTGAAGGGAGGGGGTTTACCCACTGGATAACAAGGGGACAGGAGACGTGAAGGGAGGGGGTTTACACACTGGATAACAAGGGGAAAGGAGACGTGAAGGGAGGGGGTTTACCCACTGGATACCAAGGGGAAAGGAGACGTGAAGGGAGGGGGTTTAAGGGGAAAGGAGACGTGAAGGGAGGGGGTTTTACACACTGGATACCAAGGGGAAAGGAGACGTGAAGGGAGGGGTTTTACACACTTCCATAATATTTACAGTAACTGGACAAAAAGAAGATGAAATGCCTCGCTGCCTGTATTGCTGTTCCCAGACATAGTTATATATGGGCTCTTTATGTTTGTGAAGAGCAAAACAGTGAGCATCCCCTCTGCAAAACAGTGAGCATCCCCTATAGAAAACAGTGAGCATCCCCTATAGAAAACAGTGAGCATCCCCTCTGCAAAACAGTGAGCATCCCCTCTGCAAAACAGTGAGCATCCCCTCTGCAAAACAGTGAGCATCCCCTCTGCAAAACAGTGAGCATCCCCTACGCAAAACAGTGAGCATCCCCTCTGGAAAACAGTGAGCATCCCCTATGGAAAACAGTGAGCATCCCCTACGCAAAACAGTGAGCATCCCCTATGGAAAACAGTGAGCATCCCCTACGCAAAACAGTGAGCATCCCATACGCAGAACAGTGAGCATCCCCTATGGAAAACAGTGAGCATCCCCTACGCAAAACAGTGAGCATCCCCTACGCAGAACAGTGAGCATCCCCTATGGAAAACAGTGAGCATCCCCTATGGAAAACAGTGAGCCTCCCCTATGGAAAACAGTGAGCATCCCCTATGGAAAACAGTGAGCATCCCCTATAGAAAACAGTGAGCATCCCCTATGGAAAACAGTGAGCATCCCCTACGGAAAACAGTGAGCATCCCCTCTGGAAAACAGTGAGCATCCCCTATGGAAAACAGTGAGCATCCCCTATGGAAAACAGTGAGCATCCCCTCTGGAAAACAGTGAGCATCCCTATGGAAAACAGTGAGCATCCCCTATGGAAAACAGTGAGCATCCCCTATGGGAAAAACAGTGAGCATCCCCTATGGAAAACAGTGAGCATCCCCTACGGAAAAACAGTGAGCATCCCCTCTGGAAAACAGGTGAGCATCCCCTATGGAAAACAGTGAGCATCCCTATGGAAAACAGTGAGCATCCCCTCTGGAAAACAGTGAGCATCCCTATGGAAAACAGTGAGCATCCCCTATGGAAAACAGTGAGCATCCCCTATGGAAAACAGTGAGCATCCCTATGGAAAAACAGTGAGCATCCCCTACGGAAAACAGTGAGCATCCCCTCTGGAAAACAGTGAGCATCCCCTATGGAAAACAGTGAGCATCCCCTATGGAAAACAGTGAGCATCCCCTATGGAAAACAGTGAGCATCCCCTATAGAAAACAGTGAGCATCCCCTATGGAAAACAGTGAGCATCCCCTACGGAAAACAGTGAGCATCCCCTATGGAAAACAGTGAGCATCCCCTATGGAAAACAGTGAGCATCCCCTATGGAAAACAGTGAGCATCCCCTCTGGAAAACAGTGAGCATCCCCTATGGAAAACAGTGAGCATCCCCTATGGAAAACAGTGAGCATCCCCTATGGAAAACAGTGAGCATCCCCTATGGAAAACAGTGAGCATCCCCTATGGAAAACAGTGAGCATCCCCTATGGAAAACAGTGAGCATCCCCTATAGAAAACAGTGAGCATCCCCTATGGAAAACAGTGAGCATCCCCTACGGAAAACAGTGAGCATCCCCTCTGGAAAACAGTGAGCATCCCCTATGGAAAACAGTGAGCATCCCCTATGGAAAACAGTGAGCATCCCCTCTGGAAAACAGTGAGCATCCCCTATGGAAAACAGTGAGCATCCCCTATGGAAAACAGTGAGCATCCCCTATGGAAAACAGTGAGCATCCCCTATGGAAAACAGTGAGCATCCCCTCTGGAAAACAGTGAGCATCCCCTATGGAAAACAGTGAGCATCCCCTATGGAAAGAAGCATACCTGTGAAACCGACTGAGAAACAAGGGACCTTATGTCAAGGTGCAGTGCTTCACTTTACTTGCTTCACAATGCATCCAGTGAATTAAGTTAGATTTATATGGTTTGAAGAAAATCTATGGGTTGGAGACAAACTAGGAGTACTTTAGGGATGTGCAGAGAGAGGAGGACAACTCCTGGAAAACTTTTGGAAAGTTAACAAACCTGCTCCTCCAAAAACAAGAATGTCAAAAATGTATTTAGAGAAAATCTATACTGAATAAAAATATAAAACGCAGCATGTAAAGTGTTGGTCCCGTGCTACATAAACTGAAATAAAAGATCCCAGAAATGTTCCATACGCACAAAAAGCTTATTTCTCTAAAATTGTGCTCAAATTTGTTTACATCCCTGTTAGTGAGCATTTCTCATTTGCCAAGATAATCCATCCACCTGACAGGTGTGAGGTAATCAAGAAGCTTATTAAACAGCATGATCATTACACAGGTGCACCTTGTGCTGGGGACAATAAAAGGCCACTCTGAAATGTGCAGTTTTGTCACACAACGCCACAGATGTCTCCATTTTTGAGGGAGCGTGCAATTGGCATTCTGACTGCAGGAATGTCCACCAGAGCTGTTGCCAGATCATTTCATGTTAATTTCTCTACCATAAGCCGCCTCCAACGTCGTTTTAGAGAATTTGGCAGTACGTCCAACCGGCCTCACAACCACGTGTAACCACACCAGCCAAGGACCTCCACATCAGGCTTCTTCACCTGCGGGATCGTCTGAGACAAGCCACCCAGAGTATTTCTGTCTGTAATAAAGCTCTTTTGTGGGGAAAAACTCATTCTGATTGGCTGGGCCTGGCTCCCTAGTGGGTGGGCCTGGCTCCCTAGTGGGTGGGCATATGTCCAGTCATGCTAAATCCATTGATTAGGGCCTAATTTATTTATTTCAATTGACTGATTTCCTTAAATGAACTGTAACTCAGTAAAATCGTTAAAATCGTTGCATGTTGCGTATATATATTTTTGCTCAGTGCATATCCAGCACTTTGTTTTTAGTTCTATATCTAATTTAAATGACACATCTAATCTTTGATATGAATTAACGAATGCCAAAAACAAAAAAGATAATAATTCAAATAATAATAAGATGTATTTTATACAGCACTTTCCATTACAAAGAGCATCTCAAAGATTGAGATGAAGGCTGGGTGAAAACAGACAGAAAGATAAAGAAAGATAACTGATCATGGATCACATAATTGATCGCATGCTGCAATAATGAATGCACTTAATTGATTATTGATTGTTATGATGGACACAGCTTTTTTTTTTTTGAACCAAAACATACACAGCCTCTGCTCAACAAAATGGAGAAAGAATCGTTTTGGGGGCCTTCAGCTCACGAACGATAATGTGCTTAATCACCCTCACGGAAGTCAAGCAATCCATTCCGCCAAAAGTCGTTCGCAGTCTAGTCTGGTTGTGGCCACAACTAGACCTCGTTTCAAATGTATCAAGAAATAATCTCATTTGTATGCTCCAATAAGCTGCCCGTGGTGAACGAGAGACTCGAGTTTTCAGTTCATCGTTCGCCAGTAGGGCTCTGGGCATTACTGACTCAAATGAAAGAAATGAGTCTAAAGATTAGTTATTTTGACCGAACGAGTCGAAAAGATCAGAGTCAGTAAAAAGAACCGAACTTCCCATCACTACTGGCTTTAGCCAGGGCCTGTCCGGGCAAGTCCAGGGGGGTTGCCTAGCAACATGCGCCTCTGAGGGAGGCAACATCTGCATAGTGCAAGACATGTCCGTGATTTGTGAATCTGTTCAGACCGAACAGCTAGTGCCACAGCTCAAATGGCTTTGGAAAAAAAATACGATTTCAGCTAATAAGTAGAAGTATCTAACAAAATAATCAAACTATTTACATATAATAGAAATGTGGGTACCTCTTTGGAACTTCAAGACAACAACAACATACCTAAAGCTCTGGCCACAGCCAGGAAAGGGATCTGGTCTATGACAGTGCTCCTCCGGACGGGGCCGTTGTGAGTCAACCTGGGTCTCTTCCACACCACCCTGTTCACACCAGACTTCTTTATAACACTGGAGACAGGAGGGAGAGAGACAGACAGGAGAGTTATCACACTGGAGACAGGAGGGGGAGAGACAGACAGGAGAGTTATCACACTGGAGACAGGAGGGAGAGAGACAGGAGAGTTATCACACTGGAGACAGGAGGGGGAGAGACAGGAGAGTTATCACACTGGAGACAGGAGGGAGAGAGACAGACAGGAGGGTTATCACACTGGAGACAGGAGGGAGATAGACAGGAGGGTTATCACACTGGAGACAGGAGGGAGACAGACAGGAGAGTTATCACACTGGAGACAGGAGGGAGAGAGACAGGAGAGTTATCACACTGGAGACAGGAGGGAGAGAGACAGACAGGAGGGAGAGAGACAGACAGGAGAGTTATCACACTGGAGACAGGAGGGAGACAGACAGGAGAGTTATCACACTGGAGACAGGAGGGAGAGAGACAGGAGAGTTATCACACTGGAGACAGGAGGGAGAGAGACAGGAGAGTTATCACACTGGAGACAGGAGGGGGAGAGACAGGAGAGTTATCACACTGGAGACAGGAGGGAGAGAGACAGACAGGAGAGTTATCACACTGGAGACAGGAGGGAGAGAGACAGACAGGAGAGTTATCACACTGGAGACAGGAGGGAGAGAGACAGGAGAGTTATCACACTGGAGACAGGAGGGAGAGAGACAGGAGAGTTATCACACTGGAGACAGGAGGGAGAGACAGACAGGAGAGTTATCACACTGGAGACAGGAGGGAGACAGACAGGAGAGTTATCACACTGGAGACAGGAGGGAGAGAGACAGGAGAGTTATCACACTGGAGACAGGAGGGAGAGAGACAGGAGAGTTATCACACTGGAGACAGGAGGGAGAGAGACAGACAGGAGAGTTATCACACTGGAGACAGGAGGGAGAGAGACAGACAGGAGAGTTATCACACTGGAGAGTTATCACACTGGAGACAGGAGGGAGAGAGACAGGAGAGTTATCACACTGGAGACAGGAGGGAGACAGACAGACAGGAGAGTTATCACACTGGAGACAGGAGGGAGACAGACAGACAGGAGAGTTATCACACTGGAGACAGGAGGGAGAGAGACAGGAGAGTTATCACACTGGAGACAGGAGGGAGACAGACAGGAGAGTTATCACACTGGAGACAGGAGGGAGAGAGACAGACAGGAGAGTTATCACACTGGAGACAGGAGGGAGACAGACAGGAGAGTTATCACACTGGAGACAGGAGGGAGAGAGACAGGAGAGTTATCACACTGGAGACAGGAGGGAGAGAGACAGGAGAGTTATCACACTGGAGACAGGAGGGGGAGAGACAGGAGAGTTATCACACTGGAGACAGGAGGGAGAGAGACAGACAGGAGAGTTATCACACTGGAGACAGGAGGGAGAGAGACAGACAGGAGAGTTATCACACTGGAGACAGGAGGGAGAGAGACAGGAGAGTTATCACACTGGAGACAGGAGGGAGAGAGACAGGAGAGTTATCACACTGGAGACAGGAGGGAGAGAGACAGACAGGAGAGTTATCACACTGGAGACAGGAGGGAGACAGACAGGAGAGTTATCACACTGGAGACAGGAGGGAGAGAGACAGGAGAGTTATCACACTGGAGACAGGAGGGAGAGAGACAGGAGAGTTATCACACTGGAGACAGGAGGGAGACAGACAGACAGGAGAGTTATCACACTGGAGACAGGAGGGAGAGAGAGAGACAGGAGAGTTATCACACTGGAGACAGGAGGGAGAGAGAGAGACAGGAGAGTTATCACACTGGAGACAGGAGGGAGAGACAGACAGGAGAGTTATCACACTGGAGACAGGAGGGAGAGAGACAGGAGAGTTATCACACTGGAGACAGGAGGGAGAGAGACAGGAGAGTTATCACACTGGAGACAGGAGGGTTATCACACTGGAGACAGGAGAGAGACAGACAGGAGAGTTATCACACTGGAGACAGGAGGGAGAGAGACAGACAGGAGGGTTATCACACTGGAGACAGGAGGGGGAGAGACAGACAGGAGGGAGAGAGACAGGAGAGTTATCACTGGTATTTAATAAAGTATTAATGAAGTAGTAGTTCTGATTTAGCCAGTCAGACCCCCTACTGCCTTTATAGTGAACTATAGAAGGAAGGAATGGGGTGTTATTACAGACCCCCTACTGCCTTTATAGTGAACTATAGAAGGAAGGAATGGGGTGTTATTACAGACCCCCTACTGCCTTTATAGTGAACTATAGAAGGAAGGAATGGGGTGTATTACAGACCCCTACTGCTTTATAGTGAACTATAGAAGGAAGGAATGGGGGTGTTATTACAGACCCCCTACTGCCTTTATAGTGAACTATATAAGGAAGGAATGGGGTGTTATTACAGACCCCCTACTGCCTTTATAGTGAACTATAGAAGGAAGGAATGGGGTGTATTACAGACCCCCTACTGCCTTTATAGTGAACTATAGAAGGAAGGAATGGGGTGTTATTACAGACCCCCTACTGCCTTTATAGTGAACTATAGAAGGAAGGAATGGGGTGTTATTACAGACCCCCTACTGCCTTTATAGTGAACTATAGAAGGAAGGAATGGGGTGTTATTACAGACCCCCTACTGCCTTTATAGTGAACTATAGAAGGAAGGAATGGGGTGTTATTTCAGACCCCCTACTGCCTTTATAGTGAACTATAGAAGGAAGGAATGGGGTGTTATTTCAGACGCACCTTTTACAAAATGTTCAGTAAACCACTAACACGTCTTAGAAATGGCTAATTAATAGAAGTGGTATAAATAAAGTGACTAGCTTTATTTAAATTGGCTGGTTGATATAATAACCCTTATGGTATGTGACCAGCACAATTTAAAATCGGCAGTAAACTGCTGCGATGCTGATAACTAGTCTGGCAAGAGTCTTAAAGTCACTGGAAATCGCTCCAAGCTCAGTCCCTCTGTGGGTACCACTGGCTACGTCCCAAATAGCACCCCATTAATATAATATATAAATAATAATATGCCATTTAGCAGACGCTTTTATCCAAAGCGACTTACAGTCTCATGTGCGCATACATTTTTTACGTATGGGGTGGTCCCGGGGATGGAACCCACTAACCTGGCGTTACGAGCGCCGCGCTCTACCAGCTGAGCTCTACCAGCTGAGCTCTACCAGCTGAGCTCTACCAGCTGAGCTCTACCAGCCGAGCTCTACCAGCCGAGCTCTACCAGCCGAGCTCTACCAGCCGAGCTCTACCAGCCGAGCTCTACCAGCCGAGCTCTACCAGCCGAGCTCTACCAGCCGAGCTCTACCAGCCGAGCTCTACCAGCTGAGCTCTACCAGCTGAGCTACAGAGGACCACCAGAGACTTTTGACCAGGGCCATCTGGGACGCAGCCTGTGTGTTCCTTATCTGAAGGAGATGGCTCTACAGTAGTGTGTTGTTTACCCAGTGTCTGTCCGTCCCTCTAGTCTAGTTACCCAGTGTCTGTCCATCCCTCTAGTCTAGTTACCCAGTGTCTGTCCGTCCCTCTAGTCTAGTTACCCAGTGTCTGTCCGTCCCTCTAGTCTAGTTACCCAGTCAGTCAGAGACCAAGCAGGCGTACATGTATAGATGCTACAATGCTTCATCTGACTGAGTTTGCAGTAGAGCAGACAATGTTGTCATCAACCCAAAGCAGACAAGAGTTTGATTCGCTATTGTGCAAAACCTATTGTCTTGTCATAGGGGCTGTTGTTTTGGATGCACAGTCACACGAGGCTACGGTTGTTAGGGGCCCTAGTACAGTATTATGTGTTGGTGAGGCTAGTCTGTCTGTCAGACAGACAAAACATTACAATGTTGAGTTAGTTCTTGAGTTGGCTGGCTAAAGAGCTAACCTAGTAGGGTAGTACGAGTCGGCATTACCTGCCCCCCAGTCCTTCGATGCGCTCCCTCTCCTTGGGCAGCTCAGGCTTGTGGTCCTGTGTGACCTCCACGGCCCTGATGAACTGGTCAGTGGGGTCGTCCTGGACCCCTAGCACTATGGCAGAGTCTCCTACGTGGGCCACGTACATGCGGTCCCCCCGGATGACCACTACACTGGCCGTGGTGCCTGAGGTGCTGGGCAGCCCCGTGAGAGTTTTGGGCCATTCGGCTGCAGAGGGAGGGAGAGAGAGAGAGAGAAGACGCTAAAATATTGGAACCTGGCCGGCCTTAGAAGTAGCCTTCGGAGTCAGACTAACCTACTTCCCTGAGGGCCGTGCCTGCAATAATATGCCCCCTGAATACAACAACAGTTAGGAAGGAACTAAACTTTAAACTAAAGACAACTTTCTCTGCCATCTTCACAGACAGACAGGCAGACAGGCAGACAGGCAGACAGGCAGACAGGCAGACAGGCAGACAGGCAGACAGGCAGACAGACAGACAGACAGACAGACAGGCCAGTGAGATCAGAGGAACACACACGACAGGGTCAGGATGAGAGAGCCAGATGCTTCTCCAGATTACAGACACACTACTATCTCAATCTCAACATAGACCCAGACAGACCTTTGATCAACACCTGTGACAAGTCTGGGCAAGTGAAAGAAAGTAAGTAGTGCATTATCCAACCCTGTTCCTGGAGAGCTACCCTCCTGTAGGTTTTAACTCCAACCCTGTTCCTGGAGAGCCACCCTCCTGTAGGTTTTAACTCCAACCCTGTTCCTGGAGAGCTACCCTCCTGTAGGTTTTAACTCCAACCCTCCTGTAGGTTTTAACTCCAACCCTGTTCCTGGAGAGCTACCCTCCTGTAGGTTTTAACTCCAACTCTGTTCCTGGAGAGCTACCCTCCTGTAGGTTAACTCCAACCCTGTTCCTGGAGAGCTACCCTCATGTAGGTTTTAACTCCAACCCTGTTCCTGGAGAGCAACCCTGTTCCTGGAGAGCTACCCTCCTGTAGGTTTTAACTCCAACCCTCCTGTAGGTTTTAACTCCAACCCTGTTCCTGGAGAGCTACCCTCCTGTAGGTTTTAACTCCAACCCTGTTCCTGGAGAGCTACCCTCCTGTAGGTTAACTCCAACCCTCCTGTACGTTTTAACTCCAACCCTGTTCCTGGAGAGCTACCCTCCTGTAGGTTTTAACTCCAACCCTGTTCCTGGAGAGCTACCCTCCTGTAGGTTTTAACTCCAACCCTGTTCCTGGAGAGCTACCCTCCTGTAGGTTTTAACTCCAACCCTGTTCCTGGAGAGCTACCCTCCTGTAGGTTAACTCCAACCCTGTTCCTGGAGAGCTCACATCCTGTAGGTTTGAACTCCAACCCCGTTCCTGGAGAGCTACCCTCCTGTAGGTTAACTCCAACCCTGTTCCTGGAGAGCTCCAATCCTGTAGGTTTTAACTCCAACCCCGTTCCTGGAGAGCTACCCTCCTGTAGGTTAACTCCAACCCGGTTCCTGGAGAGCTACCCTCCTGTAGGTTAACTCCAACCCTGTTCCTGGAGAGCTCCCATCCTGTAGGTTTTAACTCCAACCCCGTTCCTGGAGAGCTACCCTCCTGTAGGTTAACTCCAACCCCGTTCCTGGAGAGCTACCCTCCTGCAGGTTAACTCCAACCCTGTTCCTGGAGAGCTCCCATCCTGTAGGTTTTAACTCCAACCCCGTTCCTGGAGAGCTACCCTCCTGTAGGTCAACTCCAACCCCGTTCCTGGAGAGCTACCCTCCTGTAGGTTAACTCCAACCCCGTTCCTGGAGAGCTACCCTCCTGTAGGTTAACTCCAACCCTGTTCCTGGAGAGCTCCCATCCTGTAGGTTTGAACTCCAACCCCGTTCCTGGAGAGCTACCCTCCTGTAGGTTAACTCCAACCCCGTTCCTGGAGAGCTACCCTCCTGTAGGTTAACTCCAACCCCGTTCCTGGAGAGCTACCCTCCTGTAGGTTAACTCCAACCCTGTTCCTGGAGAGCTCCCATCCTGTAGGTTTTAACTCCAACCCCGTTCCTGGAGAGCTACCCTCCTGTAGGTCAACTCCAACCCCGTTCCTGGAGAGCTACCCTCCTGTAGGTTAACTCCAACCCCGTTCCTGGAGAGCTACCCTCCTGTAGGTTAACTCCAACCCTGTTCCTGGAGAGCTACCCTCCTGTAGGTTAACTCCAACCCCGTTCCTGGAGAGCTACCCTCCTGTAGGTTAACTCCAACCCTGTTCCTGGAGAGCTACCCTCCTGTAGGTTAACTCCAACCCCGTTCCTGGAGAGCTACCCTCCTGTAGGTTAACTCCAACCCTGTTCCTGGAGAGCTACCATCCTGTAGGTTTTAACTTCAACCCCGTTCCTGGAGAGCTACCCTCCTGTAGGTTAACTCCAACCCTGTTCCTGGAGAGCTCCAATCCTGTAGGTTAACTCCAACCCCGTTCCTGGAGAGCTACCATCCTGTAGGTTTTAACTTCAACCCCTGATTCTAATAATTAGCTGGTTGATCAGCTGAATCAGGTTAGTTACAACTGGGGTTGAAGCGAAAAACCTACAGCAGGGTAGCTCTCCAGGAACAGGATTGGGCAGCCCTGATATAGGGAATAGGATTCCATTTGGGACGCATTCATAGACATTTAACTAATAATCTAGTTGCTGCACATTTTTGTTCCAGATCAGCACTAAGCACTAACAAAACACATGATTCAACTAGATCAAGGGCTTGATTTAGTTGATATGTTGAATCGGGTGTGTTAATACTGGGCTGGAACAAAAATGTGCACATCCTTGGGGTTTCCCCAGGACTAGACTAGACTGCCGTTTGGATGATCCTTTTGTGTAGAGCAGGGTCCCCCAACTTTTCCACTCAGGCCCCCCCTTCCAGCATTGGGGAGCATCCTGCGCCCCTGCCACCTCTCTTTCTATGGGCACGAGCATTATTCATGACACAAACTGTTCACACCCCTCTTGTTGACAGACAGAAAAATGTTCAGGTTTAAAAGCTTATTTTCTTGCAGTTCTATACATTTTACCATGTCTAATGTTTATTCATGTGATATTTGAGTGACTCAAACATTACAACAAAATCTATGGGCTGAAAAACGTAGCTAAAAAACGTTAGCTGACATGGGCTAGTTGATCTGGACATTTCTGACAAGTTATAAATAGCTCTCTAAGATGTGCAATGACTGACATGACAAGAGGAACTGATGATGCAATACCCAATTTAGAAATTGTACCTTGTGCATTCTAATATTACAACTTTCAAGAGTAAGTTGAAAGCAGTGGAGGTCGGTGACGTTTAAGATGAGGGAGGACGATTATGTTTTGAATGAGCATGGCCTTATTTCTATTACAGCATATTGGATGACTGTCATTCATATTCCATTCACCCAGCTCAATGTAACATCGATAGGTTTAGGCTACTACATGATACTCTGATATTCCCTTCATCATGAAGTTGCTACAACCTAGTTTCTGAAAAGTTTACAACGTAGGTGCACAGGTCGAGAGAATCATTCGAGTAATCAAGGTGACAGACAGTGACACGTTCAATCCCGCCTTGCACACTCTTGCCTGCATCTAGCTGATCTAGGGTGTAATCATTAGTCCAACAGTTGCAAACGAGAGTTTCCATTGGACAAATTCAGGAATGTTTATCTCTGTTTCATTCCGTTTAAGAAATGTTTTTCAACAGAATCGGCGGAATGAATACACCCCTGATCACACGCAAACACAGTTCATTTTCATAGCAGCCACATACAAACAGCATAATTCCTTCTCTCATCTACGTGCTCTCCTCCTCTCACCTTTTCCCTTCGCTCGTGGGCTTCAGTGCTCAACACATCAGATGTCTGTGACCAGGCGAAAAAACCTTTCTAAGCCAAACCTTCATATCATAACCGCTACACACAGCCTACATCGTTGTCACCAAATTAGCTAACGTCATAGTCAACATAGCTACTAGAACTAACGCGTTAGTAAACCCGATACAATCACGCACTACAGTGTACAATCAGCAAGCAGTTTAGAAGTTACACCGGCGGGCCCCGGGTGGCAATAAATTAATAAAACCAAAAGCTTACCTTGACTTGGAAGAGTTCCAGTGTTGGATAGCCATAGCCAGCTAGCTAACATAGCATCCCTCTCTGTTTGAGCCGGGTGTTTGAGTAGGCTAAACTACAGTTGAAGTCGGAAGTTTACATACACCTTAGCCAAATACATTTAAACTCAGTTTTTCACAATTGCTGACGTTTAATCCTAGTAAAAATTCCCTGTCTTAGGTCAGTTAGGATCACCACTTTATTTTAAGAACGTGAAATGTCAGAATAATAGTAGAGAGAATGATTTATTTCAGATTTTATTTCTTTCATCACATTCCCAGTGGGTCAGAAGTTTACATACACTCAATTAGTATTTGGTAGCATTGCCTTTAAATTGTTTAACTTGGGTCAAACGTTTCGGGTAGCCTTCCACAAGCTTCCCATAATAAATTGGGTGAGTTTTTGCCCATTCCTCCTGACAGAGCTGGTGTAACTGAGTCAGGTTTGTAGGCCTCCTTGCTTGCACACGCTTTTTCAGTTCTGCCCACAAATGTTCTATAGGATTGAGGTCAGGGCTTTGTGATGGCCACTCCAATACCTTGACTTTGTTGTCCTTAAGCCATTTTGCCACAACTTTGGAAGTATGGTTGGGGTCATTGTCCATTTGGAAGACCCATTTGCGACCAAGCTTTAACTTCCTGACTGATGTCTTGAGATGTTGCTTCAATATATCCACATAATTTTCCTTCCTCATGATGCCATCTATTTTGTGAAGTGCACCAGTCCCTCCTGCAGCAATGCACCCCCACAGCATGACGCTGCCACCCCCGTGCTTCACGGTTGGGATGGTGTTCTTCGGCTTGCAAGCACCCCCTTTTTAATCCAAACATAACGATGGTCATTATGGCCAAACAGTTCTATGTTTGTTTCATCAGACCAGAGGACATTTCTCCAAAGAGTACGATATTTGTCCCCATGTGCAGTTGCAAACCGTAGTCTGGCTTTTTTATGGCGGTTTTGGAGCAGTGGCTTCTTCCTTGCTGAGCGGCCTTTCAGGTTATGTCGATATACGACTCGTTTTACTGTGGATATAGATACTTTTGTACCGGTTTCCTCCAGCATCTTCACATGGTCCTTTGCTGTTGTTCTGGGATTGATTTGCACTTTCAGCACCAAAGTATGTTAATCTCTAGGAGACAGAACGAGTCTCCTTCCTGAGCGGTATGACGGCTGCGTGGTCCCATGGTGTTTATACTTGCGTACTATTGTTTGTACAGATGAGTGTGGTACCTTCAGGCGTTTGGAAATTGCTCCCAAGGATGAACCAGACTCGTGGAGGTCTATAATATTTTTTTTCTGAGGTCTTGGCTGATTTATTTTGCTTTTCCCATGATGTCGAGCAAAGAGGCACCGAGTTTGAAGGTAGGCCTTGAAATACATCCACAGGTACACCTCCAATTGACTCAAACGATGTAAATTAGCCTATCAGAAGCTTCTAAAGCCATGACATCATTTTCTGGAATCTTCCAAGCTGTTTAAAGGCACAGTCAATTTAGTGTATGTAAACTTCTGACCCACTGGAATTGTGATACAGTGAATTATAAGTGAAATAATCTGTCTGTAAACAATTGTTGGAAAACATTACTTGTGTCATGCACAAAGTAGATGTCCTAACCGACTTGCCAAAACTATAGTGTTAACAAGAAATGTGTGGAGTGGTTGAAAAACAAGTTTTAATGACTCCAACCTAAGTGTATGTAAACTTCCGACTTCAACTGTAGCTAGCTGCAACGAAATATAGCTCTCGCTCTTGCTTCTCCTTCATTTTTGACCAAATGAATTTGTTCAAAACTGTTCAATTATTGTCTTTATCTTTGAGTCAACTACTCACCACATTTGATGCACTGCAGTGCTAGCTAGCTGTAGCTTATGCTTTCAGTACTAGATTAATTCTCTAAACCTTTGATTGGGTGGACAACATGTCAGTTCATGCTGCAAGAGCTCTATGTTGGAGGACGTCCTCCGGAAGTTGTCATAGTTACTGTGTAAGTCTATGGAAGGGGGTGAGAGCCATGAGCCTCCTAGGTTTTGTATTGAAGTCAATGTACCCAGAGGAGGACAGAATCTAGCTGTCCTCCGGCTACACCATGGTGCTACCCTACAGAGTGCTGTTGAGGCTACTGTAGACCTTCATTGCAAAACAGTGTGTTTTAATCAATTATTTGGTGACATTAATATATTTAGTATAGTTTTATCTAAAAAGGATAACTTTAATGTTTCAGTTTGGAAACCACTGGTGTAGAGCAGGCTGTGTACTACTGACTTGACAGGGCAGTTGAAAGATCCAGAGCAGAACGCTGATGACTGCCCTAAATACAACTGCCCTCACAGCTGATAAGAAAAGAGACTTGTTCATCAAACGGATAAAAGAGGAGATGGGACGCATTGACTTGCCAAATCCAATAAATATGATGCATCTCCTTTACAACCAACAACATCAGATCTCACATGCTGCCTACTCCAACAATAAACCTGATTTGTTATGCCATCGATGTCACGCAACCTCTTTCCAAACAATCAGCTAAACCATTGTAACGTGTATCGAAATGCAAACAGAGGAAGGCACCACGGAGCCCCGCGGACCCGCCTGTGCGTGTGACCTGATAGGTTGGGGGTTTAGGTAGGAATCATGGGATCTCTTTCTTTGCTCTACTACTGACAGATGGCCAGCAGTGGTAGGTTTATGTTGATAGCTAAGCCAGAGAAACCAAACCACATCGAGCATGTGGTGGCCATTTAATCCTTAGCGGCTTGCTAGCTAAATGCGAAAACAAATACCGATATACATAGTTAGCGAGACATATGGACGATTCTAACTTACGCAGCTTTTTCCACATAGCATGGTGGCAGGCGACGAAGCCTTTACGAATAGCTGCACACACTTCCTCGTCATCCTTGGACCAAAACCCCCGCTGTTTCTTGATGAATTCCCATAAATAGTCCCGTGCGAATTGCGCTGCCTCGCGGCCTCCGTGGCCATCAAACACCGCGAAGAAAGCCACTGAGCGCCGGGGGCGGTTATCACTCTCGGCCGCAGCCGGTGAACTCTCCACTGTCGATACTGCCAGTGCAGCTGCTGCACAACTTCGGTCCCCATTTTGTACATGTTGTGTCCATGCAACTGTAGTGGAGGCAGATAGAGGCTCGTTGTTTGCAGTCCGATCAGGCTGCTCGTTTTCAGGCACAGTGTCGACCGTCGAGCTATCCCCTTTGGCATCATCTTGTTCGTCCGAGTTAAGCTCGTCTTCCCCCGGCTCGGGCTCCACTACAACCTCGGTAACGTCCTCCATGTATTTCCTGCCTCCCTGGTCGGAGAAAACACTCACTCGCATCAACAATGCGTTTTCCATTGCCGTAGGGACGTCTTGCTTCAGATGCTGAGTGTTTGTAGTACCTAAAAAATGCCTTTAAAGTATTTTAAGTTAAGTTTATGGCAGCTTAATGATCAATCATCCGCTTTCGGTCTTTGTTTATTTTCGAGTCTTGTAGGCATGCTCAGAAACGCACTGACGTCAGAGCTGTATCGGGGGGGGGGGGGGGATTCTGGAAAATACTCCAGTGCGCCACCTACTGGATGTGTAAATGCTTCATAAACAACGGGTTAACTAACAGTGAAATGCTTACTTACGGGGCCCTTCCCAACAGTGCAGAGAGAAAAATAACACGAGGTGTGTATATATATATATATATATACACACACTGTATACAAAGGGTACCAGTACCAAGTCAATGTTTTTTTTTTTTTTTCACCTTTATTTAACCAGGTAAGCCAGTTGAGAACAAGTTCTCATTTACAACTGCGACCTGGCCAAGATAAAGCAAAGCAGTGCGATAAAAACAACAACACAGTTACAGTGGGGAAAAAAAGTATTTAGTCAGCCACCAATTGTGCAAGTTCTCCCACTTAAAAAGATGAGAGGCCTGTAATTTTCATCATAGGTACACGTCAACTATGACAGACAAAATGAGAAAAAAAATCCAGAAAATCACATTGTAGGATTTTGAATGAATTTATTTGCAAATTATGGTGGAAAATAAGTATTTGGTCAATAACAAAAGTTTCTCAATACTTTGTTATATACCCTTTGTTGGCAATGACACAGGTCAAACGTTTTCTGTAAGTCTTCACAAGGTTTTCACACACTGTTGCTGGTATTTTGGCCCATTCCTCCATGCAGATCTCCTCTAGAGCAGTGATGTTTTGGGGCTGTGGCTGGGCAACATGGACTTTCAACTCCCTCCAAAGATTTTCTATGGGGTTGAGATCTGGAGACTGGCTAGGCCACTCCAGGACCTTGAAATGCTTCTTACGAAGCCACTCCTTCGTTGCCCGGGTGGTGTGTTTGGGATCATTGTCATGCTGAAAGACCCAGCCACGTTTCATCTTCAATGCCCTTGCTGATGGAATCAAATCAAATCAAATCAAATTTTATTGGTCACATGCGCCGAATACAACAGGTGCAGACATTACAGTGAAATGCTTACTTACAGCCCTTAACCAACAGTGCATTTATTTTAAACAAAAAAAAGTAAGAATAAAACAACAACAAAAAAAGTGTTGAGAAAAAAAGAGCAGAAGTAAAATAAAGTGACAGTAGGGAGGCTATATATACAGTAAAATAAAGTGACAGTGGGGAGGCTATATATATACAGGGGGGTACCGTTGCAGAGTCAATGTGCGGGGGCACCGGCTAGTTGAGGTAGTTGAGGTAATATGTACATGTGGGTAGAGTTAAAGTGACTATGCATAAATACTTAACAGAGTAGCAGCAGCGTAAAAAGGATGGGGTGGGGGGGCAGTGCAAATAGTCCGGGTAGCCATGATTAGGAGGTTAGGAGGTTTTCACTCAAAATCTCACGATACATGGCCCCATTCATTCTTTCCTTTACACGGATCAGTCGTCCTGGTCCCTTTGCAGAAAAACAGCCCCAAAGCATGATGTTTCCACCCCCATGCTTCACAGTAGGTATGGTGTTCTTTGGATGCAACTCAGCATTCTTTGTCCTCCAAACACGACGAGTTGAGTTTTTACCAAAAAGTTCTATTTTGGTTTCATCTGACATTCTCCCAATCCTCTTCTGGATCATCCAAATGCACTATAGCAAACTTCAGACGGCCTGGACATGTACTGGCTTAAGCAGGGGGACACGTCTGGCACTGCAGGATTCGAGTCCCTGGCGGCGTAGTGTGTTACTGGTAGGCTTTGTTACTTTGGTCCGAGCTCTCTGCAGGTCATTCACTAGGTCCCCCCGTGTGGTTCTGGGATTTTTGCTCACCGTTCTTGTGATCATTTTGACCCCACTGGGTGAGATCTTGCATGGAGCCCCAGATCGAGGGAGATTATCAGTGGTCTTGTATGTCTTCCATTTCCTAATCATTGCTCCCACAGTTGATTTCTTTAAACCAAGCTGCTTACCTATTGCAGATTCAGTCTTCCCAGCCTGGTGCAGGTCTACAATTTTGTTTCTGGTGTCCTTTGACAGCTCTTTGGTCTTGGCCATAGTGGAGTTTGGAGTGTGACTGTTTGAGGTTGTGGACAGGTGTCTTTTATACTGATAACAAGTTCAAACAGGTGCCATTAATACAGGTAACGAGTGGAGGACAGAGGAGCCTCTTAAAGAAGAAGTTAAAGGTCTGTGAGAGCCAGAAATCTTGCTTGTTTGTAGGTGACCAAATACTTATTTTCCACCATAATTTGCAAATAAATTCATTAAAAATCCTACAATGTGATTTTCTGGAGAAAAAAAAATTCCTCAATTTGTCTGTCATAGTTGACGTGTACCTATGATGAAAATTACAGGCCTCTCTCATCTTTTTAAGTGGGAGAACTTGCACAATTGGTGGCTGACTAAATAATTTTTTCCCCCACTGTACATATGGGGTAAACAAAACATAAAGTCAAAAATACAACAGAAAATCTATATACAGTGTGTGCAAATGTAGTAAGTTATGGAGGTAGGGCAATACATTTAGTGTTGTACCTGGTAGGTTCGTTGATAATTTGTGTGAGATCGAGGGCATCTAGTTTAGATTGTAGGATGGCCGGTGTGTTAAGCATATCCCAGTTTAGGTCACCAAGCAATACGATCTCTGAGGATAGATGGGGGTCAATCAATTCACATATGGTGTCCAGGGCACAGCTGGGGCTGAGGGGGGTCTGTAGCAAGCGGCAACAGTGTGAGACTTAAACTGTTTGGGCACAGACCTGGATAGTATGATAGTATGTGCAGGGGTACGAGGTAATTGAGGTAGATATTGCCACTCCTATTTGCCACATCTTCAATCTAAGCCTACTAGAAAGTGAGGCCTGGAGGGAAGCAAAAGTCATTCTGCTACCTAAGAATAGTAAAGCCCCCTTTACTGGCTCAAATAGCCGACCAATCAGCCTGTTACCAACCCTTAGTAAACTTTTGGGAAAAATGGTGTTTGACCAGATACAATGCTATTTTACAGTAAACAAATTGACAACAGACTTTCAGCACGCTTATAGGGAAGGACATTCAACAAGCACAGCACTTACACAAATGACTGATGATTGGCTGAGAGAAATTGATGATACAAATATTGTGGGAGCTGTTTTGTTAGACTTCAGTGAGGCTTTTGACATTATCGATCATAGTCTGCTGCTGGAAAAACGTATGTGTTATGGCTTTACACCCTGTGCTATATTGTGGATAAAGAGTTACCTGTCTAACAGAACACAAAGGGTGTTCTTTAATGGAAGCCTCTCCAACATCATCCAGGTAGAATCAGGAATTCCCCAGGGCAGCTGTCTAGGCCCTTTTTTCAATCTTTACTAATGACAGACCACTGGCTTTGAGTAAAGCCAGTGTGCCTATGTATGCGGATGACTCAACACTATACACGTCAGCTACTACAGCGACTGAAATGACTGCAACACTTAACAAAGAGTTGCAGTTAGTTTCAGAATGGGTGGCAAGGAATAAGTCAGTCCTAAATATGTCAAAAACTAAAAGCATTGTATTTGGGACAAATCATTCACTAAACCTCAACTAAATCTTTTTATGAATAATGTGGAAATTGAGCAAGTTGAGGTGACTAAACTGCTTGGAGTAATCCTGGATTGTAAACTGTCATGGTCAAAACATATTGATACAACAGTATCTAAGATGGGGAGATGTCTCTCCATAATTAAGCCCTGCTCTGCCTTCTTAACAACACTATCAACAAGGCAGGTCCTACAGACCCTAGTTTTGTCGCATTTGGACTACTGTTCAGTAGTGTGGTCAGGTGCCACAAAGAGGGACTTAAGAAAATTACAATTGGCTCAAAACAGGGCAGCAGGTCTGGCCCTTAAAAGTACACTGGGAGCTAACATTAATGGAATGCATGTCAGTCTCTCATGGCTCAAAGTGGAAGAGCGAATGACTTCAGCACTACTTGTTTTTGTAAGAAGTGTTGACAAGCTGAATTTACCGGGCTGTCTGTTTGAACTACTGGCACACAGCTCGGACACCCATGCATACCCCACAAGACATGCCACCAGAGGTCTCTTCACAGTCCCCAAGTCCAGAACAGACTATGGGAGGCGCACAGTACTACATAGAGCCATGACTACATGGAACTCTATTCCACATCAGGTAACTGATGTACGCAGTAGAAACAGATGTATAAATACACCTTATGGAACAGCGGGGACTGTGAAGAGACACACACATGGGTACAGACACACGCATACGCACACAAACGCTAGCACACACACTCTACACACACGTACATTGTAATATTGTTGTATGGTGGGATTATACATGTTGTATTGTAGATACAGTGGGGGAAAAAAGTATTTAGTCAGCCACCAATTGTGCAAGTTCTCCCACCAAAGATAACCCCCCCCCCCCCCCCCTGTGGAGCTTTACAGCTCCTTCAGGGTTATCTTTGGTCTCTTTGTTGCCTCTCTGATTAATGCCCTCCTTGCCTGGTTTTGGTGGGCGGCCCTCTCTTGGCAGGTTTGTTGTGGTGCCATATTCTTTCCATGTTTTAATAATGGATTTAATGGTGCTCCGTGGGATGTTGAAAGTTTTTTTTTTTTTTTTATAACCCAACCCTGATCTGTACTTCTCCACAACTTTGTCCCTGACCTGTTTGGAGAGCTCCTTGGTCTTCATGGTGCCGCATGCTTAATGGTGTTGCAGACTCTGGGGTCTTTCAGAACAGGTGTATATATACTGAGATCATGTGACAGATCATGTGACACTTAGATTGTACACAGGTGGACTTTATTTAACTAATTATGTGACTTCTGAAGGTAATTGCTTGCACCAGATCTTATTTAGGGGCTTCATAGCAAAGGGGGTGAATACATATGCACGCACCCCTTTTCCGTCATTTATTTTTTAGAATTTTTCGAAACAAGATATTTTTTAAATTTCACTTCACCAATTTGGACTATTTTGTGTATGTCCATTACATGAAATACAAATACAAATCCATTTAAATTACAGGTTGTAATGCAACAAAATAGGAAAAACGCCAAGGGGGATGAATACTTTTGCAAGGCACTGTATGCATCTGTTGGTCACAGATACCTTAAAAATAAAGCTAGTGGTGTGGATCAGAAAAACAGTCCATACTTGGTGTGACCACCGTTGATCAGGCTGTTGATTGTGGCCTGTGGAATGTTGTCCCACTCCTCTTCAATGGCTGTGCGAATATTGGTGGGAACTGGAACACGCTGGAACATGCTGTCGTACATGTCGATCCAGAGCATCCCAAACATTCAGGCCATGGAAGAACTGGGACATTTTCAGCTTCCAGGAATTGTGTACAGATCCTTGTCTCACATTATCGTCCTGAAACATGAGGTGATGGCGGTGGATGAATGGCACGACAATGGGCCTCAGGATCTCATCACGGTGTTTCTGTGCATTCAAATTGCCATTGATAAAATTCAATTGTGTTCGTTGTCTGTAGCTTATGCCTGCACATACCATAACCCCGCTGTCACCATGGGGCATTCTGTTCACAACGTTGACATCAGCAAACCGCTCGCCCACGCGACGCCATACTGCCCGGTACAGTTGAAACCGGGATTCATCCGTGAAGAGCACACTTCTCCAGCGTGCCAGTGGCCATTGAAGGTGAGCATTTTCCCATTGAAGTCGGTCACGATGCCGAACTGCAGTCAGGTCAAGACCCTGGTGAGGATGACGAGCACACAGATGAGCTTCCCTGAGACAGTTTCTGACAGTTTGTGCAGAAATTGTTCAGTTGTGCAAACCCACAGTTTCATCAGCTGTCCGGGTGGCTGGTCTCAGACGATCCTGCAGGTGAAGAAGCCGCATGTGTAGGTCCTGGGCTGGTTACACGTGGTCTGTGGTTGTGAGGCCGGTTGGACGTAATGACAAATTCTCTAAAACGACGCTGGAGGCGGCTTACGGTAGAGAAATGAACATTCAGTTCACTGGCAACAGCTCTGGTGGACATTCCTGCAGTCAGCATGCCAATTGCACGCTCCCTCAAAACTTGAGGCATCTGTGGCATTGTGTTTGTGTGACAAAACTGCACATTTGAGTGGCTTTATATTGTCCCCAGCACAAGGTGCACCTGTGTAATGATCATGCTATTTAATCAGCTTCTTGATATGCCACACCTGTCAGGTGGATGGATTATCTTGGCAAAGGAGAAATGCTCACTAACAGGGATGTAAACAAATTTGAGCACAACATTTGCGAGAAATAAGCTTTTTTGTGCGTATGGAACATTTCTGGGATGTTTTAATTCAGCTCATGAAACATGGGACTAACACTTTATGTGTTGAGTTTATATTTTTGTTCAGTGTACTTATAGGTAGGGATAAAATGACTAGGCAACAGGATAGATAATAAACAGTAGACGCAGCATATGTGATGAGTCAAAAGAGTTAGTGCAAAAAGGGTCAATGTAGACATTTGGTTAACTATTTAGCAGTCTTATGGCTTGGGGGTAGAAGCTGTTCAGGGTCCTGTTGGTTCCAGACTTGGTGCATCGGTACCGCTTGCCGTGCGGTAGCAGAGAAAACAGCCTATGACTTGGATAGCTGGAGTCCTTGACCATTTTTAGGGTCTTCCTCTGAGACCGCCTGGTATAGAGGTCCTGGGTGGCAGGGAGCTCAGCCCCAGTGATGTACTGGGCCGTACGCACTACCCTCTGTAGCGCCTTGCGTTCGGATGCCAAGCAGTTGCCATACCAAGCGGTGATGCAGCCAGTCAAGATACTATCAATGGTGCAGCTGTATAGCTTTTTGAGGATCTGAGGGCCCATGCCAAATATTTTCAGCCTCCTGAGGGGGAAGTGGCATTGTCGTGCCTTCTTCACGACTGTGTTGGTGTGTGTGGACCATGTTATTTCCTTAGTTATGTGTACACTGAGGAACTTGAAGCTCTCGACCCATTCCATTACAGTCCCGTTGATGTGGATGGGGGCGTGCGCGGCCCTCCATTTCCTGTAGTCCACAATCAGCTCCTTTGTCTTGCTGACGTTGAGGGAGCGGTTGTTGTCCTGGGAACACGCTGCAAGGTCACTGACGTCCTCCCTATAGGCTGTCTCATCGTCGTCGGTGATCAGGCCTATCACCGTCGTGTCGTCAGCAAACGTAATGATGGTGTTGGAGTCCTGCGTGGGTGAACAGGGAGTACAGGAGGGGACTAAGCACGCACCCCTGAGGGGCCCCGGTGTTGAGGGTCAGCGTGGCAGATGTCTTGTTGCCTACCCTCACCACCTTAGAGGTGGCCATTCAGGAAGTCCAGGATCCAGTTGCAGAGGGAGGTGTTCAGTCCCAGGGTCCTGAGCTTAGTGATGTACTATGGTGTTGAACGCTGAGCTGTAGTCAATGAACAGCATCCTCACGTAGGTGTTCCTCTTGTCCAGGTGGGAGAGGGCAGTGTGGAGCGCAATAAAGATTGTGTCATCTGTGGATCTGTTGGGGCGGTATGCTAATTGGAGTGGGTCCAGGGTGTCTGGGATGATGGTATTGATGTGAGCCATGACCAGCCTTTCAAAGCATTTCATTGCTGTGAGTGCTACGGGGCGATAGTCATTTTGACAGATTACCTTGCCGTTCTTGGGCACAGGGACAATGGTGGTCTGCTTGAAACATGTAGGTATTAAAGACTGGGTCAGGGAGAGATTGAAAACGTCAGTGAAAAAACACTTGCAATGTGGTCAGCGCATGCTCTGAGTACGCGTCCTGGTAATCTCCTGAGTGGCGCAGTGGTCTAAGGCACTGCATCGCAGTGCTAACTGTGCCACTAGAGATCCTGGTTCGAATCCAGGCTCTGTCGCAGCCGGCCGCGACCGGGAGACTCATGGGCGGCGCACAATTGCCCCAGCGTCGTCCAGGGTAGGGGAGGGAATAGCCGGCAGGGATGTAGCTCAGTTGATAGAGCATGGCGTTTGCAACGCCAGGGTTGTGGGTTTGATTCCCACGGGGGGCCAGAATAAAAAAAAAAAATATATGTATTCACTAACTGTAAGTCGCTCTGGATAAGAGCGTCTGCTAAATGACTAAAATGTAAATGTAAATGTAAATGTAATCCGTCTGGCCCTGCGGCCTTGTGAATGTTGACCAGTTTAAAGGTCTTGCTCACATCGGCTACGGAGAGATCACAGATGTGTTCCATGTTTTTTGCTGCAGTACAAAGTGGTGTGTCCCAAATATGTACCGAGTTGGTACGTACTCTGATCCTAATAACTTTGTGAAACTTACCACAGGTTCCAAAGTCTAAACGTGCTGTATTCCAACTTCATTTGGTTATTTGCGGCGTAGCTATTCATAGGTGCTATAGATACTAATACTGTATATACAAAACTACCATTATTATGGATAAGCTCACAGATGACCTGATCAAGTACAAGGACTGTCTTGGCGAAATATTTGACCACCGCTGAGTACATTGACTCCCTGCAGACCTTTGAGATCCGGGACAGTGACATCTTTCTGGTCACTTACCTTAAATCAGGTGAGTGACAAATCTACTGGCTGGATAAACAGCTTTTGAGATGGTCCAGACACTTATCATACTTGGGTGTCCTTGACATGAAAAAGGTTGAGAACCTTTGCTTGGTTTAGGTAATCAGTGAGGGGAGAGAGCATGAAAACAGATTTTTTAGAAAGTTAAAGGGACAATCCGGGATTAGAACATAATCTTTGGAATTTTAAATGAGTGATATTTGTTGATTCTTAAAGAATATAACTTATAAATGCCTCATGAGGTTAGTTCAACTATCTTAACGCTTGTTTTACTCCAGCCCCTTCAGCTCTGGCAGGGTGACCTCTTTATTGTTTTTCGAATCGCCCTTTAACCAAGTCGCCCCCCCCCCCCCAGAGCTCTATGACTGACACCTTTCATGATGCTGACCTGTGGGGAACTATCTGGGCACAGCAAATCATCACCTCTATCTGTGAGTCAGAGGTGGGTGATGTCTATCCCAACAACTTGGAGATGATGCCATGGCTGGAGTATATGGAAAAACGCCCTGACAATTCCTTACGTCGCAACCCGCGGCTATTCGCCTCCAACCTCACCCCCGTACTCATGCCCCCAGGCCTGAGGAACAAGAAGGCAAAGGTAGGCAGAGGAGGGGATGATGGAGGCCCTACTGTATGGTTTGCGTCCCAAATACCACCCTATTCTCTTTTATAGTGCACTACTTTTGACCAGGGCCCAAAGGGCTGTAAATGTATAGTAAATGCCTTCTCTTGTTCTTTGCCAGATGATCTATGTGATGCGGAACCCAAAGGACAACATGATTTCCTACTATCGCTGGTGTATTAACTGGGCCATGTTTGAGACCCCAAAGAGCTTCGAGGACTTTCTGGACCAGTGGTTAGCAGGGAATGGTAGAGTAAAGACATCATTCATATAACACCATGGTTGGGTCCCAAATGGAACCCTATTCCCTACATAGTGCACTCATTTTGACCAGGGGCCAATAGGGCTCTGTGCACTATATACGGAATAGGGTGCAATTTTCGGACTCAACAGCCTGTTATGAACCTGACAGCCTGTGTCCTAAATGTCAACCTATTCACTATATAGTGCGCTACTTTTGACTAACCCATGAATACTGTAACTTCATGTTCCTTTTATCTCAGGATCTGAAGATAGCCATGCATGAGAGAACTTCCCAAGTTCTCTCATGTCACCCCGCTCCTCCGCACAAACCATGGTGCTTGCCTACGGAGCTGTGAGGGGAACGGCACCTCCTTACCTTCAGGTTCTGATCAGACCCTACACCCAAACGAGGACACTACATTCATCCACCTCTGGCCTGCTAGCCCCCCTTCCTCTACGGAAGCACAGTTCCCGCTCAGCCCAGTCAAAACTATTCGCTGCTCTGGCACCCCAGTGGTGGAACAAGCTCCCCCACGACGCCAGGACAGCGGAGTCACTGACCACCTTCCGGAGACACTTGAAACCCCACCTCTTTAAGGAATACCTGGAATAGTATAACAGTAATCCTTCTACACCCCCCCTCCCCCAGTGGTGGTTGTCCCACTGGCTATCCTAAGTTGAATGCACCAATTTGTAAGTCGCTCTGGGTAAGAGCGTCTGCTAAATGACTTAAATGTAATGACCTTGGTGACACAAGCTGTTATGACCCTATTATTGCCCAACAGTTGGTGCTTCGTCCTGGTTTGACCACATCAGAGAGTGGCACAGTGAGGGAGACCAGTACAACATCCTGTTTCTGACCTATGAGGACATGATCATGGTAAGATATTACAGACTCATTTAACACCTCTGACCTGTGCTGTGCTAGCTATCTAGAGACATTCAACCAGCCTGGCTTGCCTATCCCGAATCTCTTGGGCCACTCCACTCAACCAACCTCAGGGCAGTGGCCTTCACCACTCGACCAACCTCAGGGCAGTGGCCTTCACCACTCAACCAAACTCAGGGCAGTGGCCTTCACCACTCGACCAACCTCAGGGCAGTGGCCTTCACCACTCGACCAACCTCAGGGCAGTGGCCTTCACCACTCGACCAACCTCAGGGCAGGGGTTTCATCTTTAATGGACATGTTCCTTTTTTTCTCAGGATCTGAAGATAGCCATGCTGAAGATCTGCCACCTGAATGAAGCAGACATCATCAAGATAGTGGAAAAAGCCACGTTCAAAAACATGAAACACGACCCCAAGGCCAACTATGAGTTCATACCAGAGGACATGCTCAAAAAGGGGCAGTTCCTACGCAAATGCCTGTATTCACACAGCATCTCTATAGCAGTGCTGATCTAGGACCAGTTGTGCCTTTTAGATCCTAATGAATAAGATTACATGGGGGGGGCTGATCCTAGATCAGAACACCTACTCTGAAATGCTTCATGATTATGGGCCTGAGATTGGGGGGGGGGAAAAAACAGATTGTAAATAAACTGCATATAAACCATTTGTAATGCTCTTACTCTGAATAATGACCTGTTGGTTGTGCTGCGATGGGTCAAATCGGGGACTGGAAGAACCGTGTTCACGGTGGCCCAGAGGGAGAGGTTTGACCAGGTCTATGAGGAGCGGATGAAGGACGTGACTCTGAAGTTCATCCGGGACATGGATCAACAATCAGAGTGATGGGAGCCTCAGCCCCTGGCTTCCTCCTCCTCGCAATGCAATAATACAGTGATGGAAGGGAGGAGACTGCAGCTCTGCCGCCACAAACTACACAGTGGACATCAGCCATGGGCATTCATGTCAATTATCTGTTGAATGTACCAAAACTTGATATCCATTACATTTACATTTACATTTACGTCATTTAGCAGACGCTCTTATCTAGAGCGACTTACAAATTGGTGCATTCACCCTAAAGCCAGTGGGATAACCACTTTACAATTATTATTATTTTTTATTTATTTTTTGGGGGGGGGGGGGGGGTAGAACGATTACTTTATCTTATCCCAGGTATTCCTTAAAGAGGTGGGGTTTCAAATGTCTCCGGAAGGTGGTGAGTGACTCCGCTGTCCTGGCGTCGTGAGGGAGCTTGTTCCACCATTGGGGTGCCAGAGCAGCGAACAGTTTTGACTGGGCTGAGCGGGAACTATGCTTCCGCAGAGGAAGGGGAGCCAGCAGGTCAGAGGTGGATGAACGCAATGCCCTCGTTTGGGTGTAGGGACTGATCAGAGCCTGAAGGTACGGAGGTGCCGTTCCCCTCACAGCTCCATAGGCAAGCACCATGGTCTTGTAACAGATGCGAGCTTCAACTGGAAGCCAGTGGAGTGTGCGGAGGAGCGGGGTGACGTGAGAGAACTTGGGAAGGTTGAACACCAGACGGGCTGCGGCATTCTGGATGAGTTGTAGGGGTTTAATGGCACAGGCAGGGAGCCCAGCCAACAGTTGCAGTAATCCAGAAGGGAGATGACAAGTGCCTGGATTAGGACCTGTGCCGCTTCCTGTGTAAGGCAGGGTCGTACTCTCCGAATGTTGTAGAGCATGAACCTACAGGATCGGGTCACCGCCTTGATGTTAGCGGAGAACGACAGGGTGTTGTCCAGGGTCACGCCAAGGCTCTTCGCACTCTGGGAGGAGGACACAACGTAGTTGTCAACCGTGATGGTGAGATCATGGAACGGGCAGTCCTTCCCCGGGAGGAAGAGCAGCTCCGTCTTGCCAAGGTTCAGCTTGAGGTGGTGATCCGTCATCCATACTGATATGTCTGCCAGACATGCAGAGATGCGATTCGCCACCTGGTTATCAGAAGGGGGAAAGGAGAAGATTAGTTGTGTATCGTCAGTGTAGCAATGATAGGAGAGGCCATGTGAGGATATGACAGAGCCAAGTGACTTGGTGTATAGCGAGAATAGGAGAGGGCCTAGAACTGAGCCCTGGGGGACACCAGTGGTGAGAGCACGTGGTGCGGAGACAGCTTCTCGCCACGCCACTTGGTAGGAGCGACCGGTCAGGTAGGACGCAATCCAAGAGTGAGCCGCGCCGGAGATGCCCAGCTCGGAGAGGGTGGAGAGGAGGATCTGATGGTTCACAGTATCAAAGGCAGCAGACAGGTCTAGAAGGACAAGAGCAGAGGAGAGAGAGTTAGCTTTAGCAGTGCGGAGAGCCTCCGTGACACAGAGAAGAGCAGTCCCCTCAGCCCCCAGCTGTGCCCTGGACACCATATGTGAATTGATTGCCCCCCATTTATCCTCAGAGTTTGTACTGCTTGGTGACCTAAATTGGGATATGCTTAATACCCCAGCCATCCTACAATCCAAGCTAGATGCCCTCAACCTCACGCAAATTATCAACGAACCTACCAGGTACAACCCTAAATCCGTAAACATGGGTACCCTCATAGATATCATCCTGACTAACATACCCTCTAAATACACCTCAGCTGTCTTCAACCAGGATCTCAGCGATCACTGCCTTATTGCCTGCGTCCGTAACGGGTCCGCGGTCAAACGACCACCCCTCATCACTGTCAAACGCTCCCTAAAACACTTTAGCGAGGAGGCCTTCCTAATTGACCTGGCCCAGGTATCCTGGATGGATATAGATCTCATTCCGTCAGTAGAGGATGCCTGGTTGTTCCTTAAAAGTAATTTCCTCTCAATCTTAAATAAACATGCCCCATTCAAAAAATACAGAACTAAGAACCGATATAGCCCCTGGTTCTCCTCAGACTTGACTGCCCTTGACCAGCACAAAAACATCCTGTGGCGTACAGCATTAGCATCAAATAGCCCCCGCGATATGCAACTTTTCAGGGAAGTTAGGAACCAATATACACAAGCAGTCAGGAAAGCAAAGGCTAACTTTTTCAAACAGAAATTTGCATCCTGTAGCACTAACTCCAAAAAGTTTTGGGACACTGTAAAGTCCATGGAGAATAAGAGCACTTCCTCCCAGCTGCCCACTGCACTGAGGCTAGGAAACACTATCACCACCGATAAATCTACAATAATCGAGAATTTCAACAAGCATTTTGCTACAGCTGGCCATGCTTTCCATCTGGCTACCACTAACCCGGCCACCAACTCTGCACCCTCTGCTGCAACTTGCCCATGCCCCCCCCGCTTCTCCTTCACACAAATTCAGACAGCTGATGTTTTTGAAAGCGCTGCAAAATCTGGACCCCTACAAATCAGCTGGGCTAGACAATCTGGACCCTTTCTTTCTAAAACTAGCCGCTGAAATTGTCGCTACCCCTATTACTAGTCTGTTTAACCTCTCTTTCATAACGTCTGAGATCCCCAGAGATTGGAAAGCTGCCGCGGTCATCCCCCTCTTCAAAGGGGGTGACACTCTAGATCCAAACTGCTACAGACCTATATCCATCCTGCCCTGCCTTTCGAAAGTATTCGAAAGCCAAGTTAACAAACAGGTCATCGACCATTTCGAATACCACCGTACCTTCTCCGCTATGCAATCCGGTTTCCGAGCTGGTCACGGGTGCACTTCAGCCACGCTCAAGGTCCTAAATGATATTATAACCGCGATTGATAATAGACAGTACTGTGCAGCCGTCTTCATCGACCTGGCCAAGGCTTTCGACTCTGTCAACCACCACATTCTTATTGGCAGACTAAATAGCCTTGGTTTCTCAAATGACTGCCTCGCCTGGTTCACCAACTACTTCTCAGATAGAGTTCAGTGTGTCAAATCGGAGGGCCTGTTGTCTGGACCTATGGCAGTCTCTATGGGGGTGCCACAGGGTTCAATTCTTGGGCCGACACTTTTCTCCGTGTATATCAATGATGTCGCTCTTGCTGCTGGTGACTCTCAGATCCACCTCTACGCAGACGATACCATTTTGTATACATCTGGCCCTTCATTGGACACTGTGTTAACAAACCTCCAAACGAGCTTCAATGCCATACAACAATCCTTCAGTAGCCTCCAACTGCTCTTAAACACTAGTAAAACTAAATGCATGTTTTTCAATCGAACGCTGCTGGCACCCGCCCACCCGACTAGAATCACCACTCTCGACGGGTCTGACCTAGAGTATGTGGACAACTACAAATACCTAGGTGTCTGGTTAGACTGTAAAATCAACTTCCAGACTCACATAAAGAATCTCCAATCCAAAGATAAATCTAGAATCGGCTTCCTATTTCGCAATAAAGCCTCCTTCACTCATGCTGCCAAACATGCCCTCGTAAAACTGACTATCCTACCGATCCTTGACTTCGGCGATGTAATTTACAAAATAGCCTCCAACACTCTACTCAGCAAATTGGATGTAGTCTATCACAGTGCCATCCATTTTGTCTCCAAAGCCCCATACACTACCCACCACTGTGACCTGTACGCTCTTGTTGGCTGGTCCTCACTACATGTTCGTCGTCAAACACACTGGCTCCAGGCCATCTATAAATCACTGCTAGGCAAATCCCCGCCTTATCTTAGCTCATTGGTCACCATAGCAGCACCCACCCGTAGTCTGCGCTCCAGCAGGTATATCTCACTGGTCATTCCCAAAGCCAACACCTCCTTTGGCCGCCATTCCTTCCAGTTCTCTGCTGCCAATGACTGGAACGAATTGCAAAAATCTCTGAAGCTGGAGACTCTTATCTCCCTCAATAACTTTAAGCATCAGTTGTCAGAGCACCTTACCGATCACTGCACCTGTACACAGCCCATCCGAAATTAGCCCACCCAACTACCTCATCCCTATATTGTTATTTATTTTGCTCTTTTACACCCCAGTATCTCTATTTGCACATAATCTCTTGCACATCTAGCATTCCAGTGTTAATACTATTGTAATTATTCTGCACTATAGCCTATTTATTGCCTTACCTCCATAACTTGCTACATTTGCACACACTGTATATATATTTTCTGTTGTATTTCTGACTTTATGTTTTTTTTTTTACCCCATATGTAACTCTGTTGTTTTTATTGCACTACTTTGCTTTATCTTGGCCAGGTCGCAGTTGTAAATGAGAACCTGTTCTCAACTGGCTTACCTGGTTAAATAAAGGTGAAATAAAAAAAAATAAAAAAATAATAATAAATAAAAAAAAATGACCAGTCCTGAAACCTGACTGGTTTGGATCAAGAAGGTCATTCTGAGAGAGATAGCAAGAGAGTTGGCTAAAGACGGCACGCTCAATAGTTTTGGAAAGAAAAGAAAGAAGGGATACTGGTCTGTAGTTGTTGACATCAGAGGGATCGAGTGTTGGTTTTTTGAGAAGGGGTGCAACTCTCGCTCTCTTGAAGACGGGCCAGCGGTCAAGGATGAGTTGATCAGCGAGGTGAGGTAGGGGAGAAGGTCACCGGAGATGGTCTGGAGAAGAGAGGAGGGGATAGGGTCAAGCGGGGCAGGTTGTTGGGCGGCCTGCAGTCACAAGTCGCAAGATTTTATCTGGAGAGAGAGGGGAGAAAGAAGTCAAAGCATAGGGTAGGGCAGTGTGAGCAGGACCAGCAGTGTCATTAGACTTAACAAACGAGGATCGGATGTCGTCAACCTTCTTTTCAAAGTGGTTGACAAAGTCATCCACAGAGAGGGAGGAGGGGGGGGGGATTCAGCAGGGAGGAGAATGTGGCAAAGAGCTTCCTAGGGTTAGAGGCAGATGCTTGGAATTTAGAGTGGTAGAAAGTGGCCTTAGCAGCAGAAACAGATGAAGAAAATGTAGAGAGGAGGGAGTGAAAAGATGCCAGGTCCGCAGGGAGTCTAGTTTTCTTCCATTTCCGCTCAGCTGCCCGGAGCTCTGTTCTGTGAGCTCGCAATGAGTCATCAAGCCACGGAGCTGGAGGGGAGGATCGAGCCGGCCGGGAGGATAGGGGACATAGAGAGTCAAAGGATGCAGAAAGGGAGGAGAGGAGGGTTGAGGAGGCAGAATCAGGAGATTGGAGGGAGAAGGATTGAGCAGAGGGAAGAGATGATAGGATGGAAGAGGAGAGAGTAGCGGGAGAGAGAGCGAAGGTTGCGGCGGCGCATTACCATCTGTGTAGGGGCAGAGTGAGTAGTGTTGGAGGAGACCGAGAGAGAAAAGGATACAAAGTAGTGGTCGGAGACATGGAGGGGAGTTGCAGTGAGATTAGTAGAAGAACAGCATCTAGTAAAGATAAGGTCAAGCGTATTGCCTGCCTTGTGAGTAGGGGGGGGACGGTGAGAGGGTGAGGTCAAAAGAGGAGAGGAGTGGAAAGAAGGAGGCAGAGAGAAATTAGTCAAATGTAGACGTAGGGAGGTTGAAATCCCCCAAAACTGTGAGGGGTGAGCCATCCTCAGGAAAGGAACTTATCAAGGCGTCAAGCTCATTGATGAACTCTCCAAGGGAACCTGGAGGGCGATAGATGACAAGGATATTAAGCTTAAATGGGCTAAAGACTGTGACAGCATGGAATTCAAATGAGGAGATGGACAGATGGGTTAGGGGAAAAATTGAGAATGTCCACTTGGGAGAGATGAGGATTCCTGTGCCACCACCCCGCTGACCAGATGCTCTCGGGGTATGCGAGAACACATGGTCAGACGAGGAGAGAGCAGTAGGAGTAGCAGTGCATTACAGATAGATACAATACTTCATTAATCCCAGAAGGGGGATTCTTTAAATAATGATAAAGTTCTATGTGTTTCTGCATGATCTTTATAATGAGGTGAATGGGGTAGGAATACTCATCATGACAGACTCAATTCCTGAACCATTATTCTGTTATTCTAATAATGATCCCTCCTTGAAGAGGAAATAAAAGAAACGAGACTGTCAGTCTCAGATCTGTATTTGAATGAATTATTTATATTTGAGGAATATTGTGCGTGTGCGCAACGAAAGAGAATGCTCGCTGATTGCACAGCCTGGAACCAAAGTGAAGGGGAAATGGAACTCGCCCGGACACATTGACAAATGAACAATTTTCTGTTTAGATTCTCACATGTGTAGTCAGCGAGACCGGTGGCTAAAAAATATTTGAACGCTTTCTCGCTTTACCTCTCAAACAAGATGGGGAAGAAACGGTCGAGTGAAGATGTGGATGAGTCCAACACGCATGCGAAGAAAGGAAAAGTATCTGAGACAGCGGAGTTCAATGGAACCGTTTTTAAAGCCATGTTGAAGGAGCCGACCAAGGCAATGAAGGGTGAGTGGCAGTGTTGCTATTAGCTACCGTTAGCTAGCTAGCTACAATGGCGCTATAACGTATTGTTCTCAACTTTGCAGTGATATGATTGCACTCTTTGTTTTCATTATTTTGCAGATAGTATGTCAATTATCAAAGGTGTTAGCTGTGTTGTCATTGAATATGTCAATACTAAACAACCGCTGTCTGTTTTCAAAACTCGTTCTCTCTGCACTGCAGGCTTGGAGACATTCATCACGACAGCAAAGAAGCTGCCATGCTCTGACCTGTACGACGTCGTTGAGGGCTACATCAAGATCTCCATGGAGTGTTCTGAGATCTTCAAACTGCTGGAGGGAGACAAGCAGAAGGAGAGCGAAGTACGTAGAGTACAGCATTTGCTTCTGTCAGTCTCCTGTTCACTGGAAATCAGTCTATTCACTCACTCACACACACACACTATGTAATAATCTGTTAGACATCACATTGTCCTTGTCTCTGTCCAGATGATGGTGATCTTCCAGAGTTTGGAGATGATTCTGCTACGTACGGCCAGTGATCTCTCTCATTTCAGCATGGTGGGATCCACTATAGTTAAGAAGGCTGTCTCCAGCATTATGAAACTCATACAGACATCCCTACACTCAGAAAACCACAGGTACATTGGAACATGAAGCAAGTTTTGTTTGAACAAAATCCAGATTGTGTGTGTGTGTGTCAATCTAACATAGTGTTGCCGTCTCCTCTTGGCCAGGTTTGTCCGTCAGTGCCTGAGTTTCCTGTCAGCCATGGTGTCCCAGGGAGCAGACACAGCCAGAGAAGTCTTCAGCCACTTCCACTTCACCAAAGGCCTGTCTGCTCTGGCCAAGAGGAAGGATAAGATGGTAAGAGACCTGGCTAGTGTCTGGCTGCATCCCAAATGGCACCCTATTTCCTATATAGTGCACTACTTTTGACCAGGGCCCCATAGGGAATAGGGTGCCATTTGGTGCACCCTCTGTATGAAGGGTTTATAGTTCTCGTTAGTGTCGTTGTAAACCAACTGTTGGGTTCCTCTGCTCTTCTGTAGTGTCGTGTATAACTAAGGTCAAGAGGTCATCCTGACCGTTTGATCTGAACAGGAACAACGATGTCCCATAGTTAGAACCAGGGCTTGGATTCAGGTTATAACTATACATCTCTAACCACTAGTATTCTGTGATCACATTCATCTCTCTCTCTTTCACTCCCTCTCTGTCTCTCTCTCTCTGTCTCTCTCTCTGTCTCTCTCCCTCTCTCTCTCTCTCTCTCTCTCTCTTCCTCTCTTTCTCTTCGTCTCTCCTCTCTCTCTCTCTATCTCTCTGCTCTCTCTCTACCTCTGTCTCTCTCTCTGTCTCTCTCTCTGTCTGTCTCTCTCTCTACCTCTGTCTCTCTCTCTCTCTCTCTCTCTCTCTCTCTCCTCTCTCTCTCTACCTCTGTCTCTCTCTCTGTCTCTCTCTCTCTCTGTCTGTCTCTCTCTCTACCTCTGTCTCTCTCTCTCTCTCTCTCTCTCCTCTCTACTCTCTCTCTCTCTCTGTCTCTCTCTCTCTAGGGTAGACCTGATGTCCGCATGGCTTACATCCAGTTTGCCCTCTCCTTCCTGGTCTCTGGTGACAACGCTACTATTGGACAACTACTGGAGATGAAAGGTCAGGATTATACTACATTTCAAAATGATGGAAGATATAACAAGAATAATGCGAATAAAATAAGTTTGAAAATATAGGAATATAGGCCTACCTTTCCAGTGTTTCATGATGAAATGTTTTATTGTTTGTCAGATTTCCTGCCAGACATTCTAAGCAGCGGACTGAAGGAGGATCGTTTATCCATTGTCAACCTGATTCTGTCTACTCTGCAGACTAAGGTAGGGCCTACTCTCTTATCTCAGTGACTTGTCATTTCCACCTTTTAGTTGTCAGGGTAATGAGTGAAAAGGGCTATTTAGTCAGGATGATTAGGAGACGTTATAAGGTGGTTGTACGTGCTCATGACAAGTATTATAGTGCATTAATAACTGCATCCTAATGCAGACTTTAAGTGACGTGTAACAGAGTGTTTCCTCTGCTGAAGGTGGTCCAGAGCAAAGCCATCAGTAAGACCCAGAAGGTACGTTTCTTCACCCCGTCTCTCCTGGCCCAGATTGCATCTCTCTACAGGTGGAATGGCATTGTGGATGCAAGCACAGACGACAGCAAGGTAATGGCTCTATCCAATAGTTTTCTCTCTCTCTCTCTCTCTCTGTTAGAGCTTTGGGCCAGTAACCGAAAGGTCACTGGTTAGAATCCCGGAGATGACAAGGTGAAAAAATCTGTTGCTGTGCCCTTGAGCAAGGCATTTAACCCCAATTGCTCCAGGGGCGCTGGACAACGGTGACCCTGGCCATGACCCCACTCCCTGGGGGTGTCTCCAGGGGGCATCGGGATATGCAAGAAACACATTTCCGTTACACCCCCTACATGATTCTCACTCACTCACAATCATCACTGAGTGTTGTTTTGAATGTCCATTTCTTCAGATGGCAGAGAATGCAGAGGAAGCAGGGAAGATGGTCGTGAGGGAACTGGTTCACAACTTCCTCCTGGATTTGTGCTGCTCCCGGAAACATGGCATCAGTTTCTATGAACCCAGCTTTGGAACGCCGGCAGGTCAGTCATGGATCTGATGCATCCGGGCTCTTCATTCTCCCTCTTATCCTTTTGTGTCCTCTCTCTCTCTAATAGGTAAATATAATATATAAATATGTTAACATATCTATCTACTAGGTCAATCATCTTATATATATATAAAATCTGTAAATATATCTATATTATCTATAATCGGTACCAAAGTATATTAGATAATATATATACTATGAAAATATATCTCTGTAATCTATTATATATCTCTGTACCATCTATATGTAACATATATATATTCTCTATATTAATATGTAATATATCATTATATCTATAATATGATCTGAGATATCTATACTCTATAATATGCATATATAACTATAATATGTAATCTAATATATATATAATCGTAATTCTATATATATAATCTGTCCTCTCTTCTTATCTAATATGTAATATCTCTACATATGTACTCTCTATGCCTCTGTCCTCTATCGCTCTATGTCCCCTCTCTCTCTCTCTCCTCTGGCCCCCCTCTCTTTTCTATCCTCTTCCATCGGCCTCCTCTCTCTCCTCTGTCCTCTCTCTATATCCTCTGTCCTCTCTCTCGATCCTCTCTGTCTCTTCATCTCTCTCCTCTGTCGTCTCTCTCTACTCTGTCCCCTCTCTCTCTCCCTCGTACCCTATCTCTCTCTCTCTCCCCTCATCCTCTTGTCCCTCTCTCTCTCTCTCTACTATGTTCCCTCTCTCTCTGTCCTCTCTCTCTCTTCCTCTGTACCCTCTCTCTTCTCTCTTCCTCTGTCCAGTCTTCTCCCTTGTCCCCCCTCTCTTTCTCCTCTGTCCCCCCCCTCTCGCTCTCTCTGTCCCCTATCTCTCTCTCTATCTAAATTGTCCCAGCTCCTCTTCCTCTGTCCCTCTCTCTCTGCTCCTCTGTACACCCTCTTCTCTCTCTATCTTCTCCTCTGTCCCCCCTCTCTCTCTCTCCTCTGTCCTCTCCTCTCCTTCTCTCTGTTCTACCTCCTCTATTTCCTCAATCTTTGCTGCCCCTCTCTCTCCCCTTTCTCCATCACCCTCCTGAAGTTGTTGTGTGTGTCTGTCTGTACAGCAGACATAGTCCTGATATTGTTCTGTGTCTGTCTTCTGTCCAGGGCTGGTAACATTGTGCTACTACAGTTTGTGGTAGGGCTGAAGCAGGCTACAGAGGATGACCTGGTGTCTGATCTGGTGGTTAATATACTAAGGGTCAGCCCTGACGTCTTGCCCAGGTTCTTCAAGGAGACACAGTACTCCTTCACCCCTCGCCTCAAATCTGCCTGGACGGACAACATCACTCTGCTCAAGAAGGTTAATAACCTGTTTGTTTCATTGGTTTTATTGGTTTTATCAAGTTATTTTATTACCTTTTCAAACCTCTGGGACAGTCCTGTCTGTAACTTTGGCACCAACAACATAGAGAATTCTAAGATGTATTCTGTTGTATAAATGTATAAAGATCTGACGTCACCATACACAGTGGGGCCGCTCCTACCTTACAGAAATCAACAGACAAAATGTGAATCTGCCAAGACTGCCACAATTGGCTGTCCTTTGCCTGTCAATCATAGGCACTGTCATTTCGATAGCTGTTAACTGCTCTGTCCTGTCTTACAGATCTATGAGTCTCAGCCGGAGGTGTCCAAGGCCTTCCAGACCAGAGAGGTCGTTCCTCTGCCACGCCTCCTGTCCATGGTGCTGGTGACATCACTTCCTCCCGTCTGTAACAAGGCCTTCTTCACGCAGGGCATCAACGTGAGTTACGACACGTCACCTGTCACAGCACCTCACCTGTTACAGCACCTCACCTGTTACAGCACGTCACCTGTCACAGCACCTCACCTGTTACAACACGTCACCTGTCACAGCACCTCACCTGTCAGTCAAGACACAGAGGGTGACATTGTAATAATATAATGGTTATTTAGCAGACTTTTTATCCACACTTTGGTGATGAAAATGTTGCCCAATGTTTCCAGTTCTGGACTATTTACCCATCTTTCCTCTCTCTGTGTGTCTGTCCCAGTTTACCAACGCGGTGGTTCAGCACACGACCCTGTCCCTGATGTCGTTCCTCCTGAAGAGAGCTCTGAGGAACATAGAGTTCTGTCAGGACCGCTCTGTGTGGCTCGGCTCTGATCTGTACACGCCGGCCAACATGGAGGACTTCATACAGCAGTACAGTGAGGCGCTCGGCAAGGTAACCTACACGTATATCCTCACTGGGAAGCAGCCCGTGCTCCAAGCTTTTATGTTTTACTGTAGTTCTATTGTGTATATATACTGTATGTTGACTTTGTCTAAATTCCTGACTGAATTCTGCCTGTATTCTGTCTGTATATGTATCTATTGCTGGCAGCACTAATTCACTAAGTGAAATTCCGGGTATGTGTAAATGTACTTGGAAAATAAAAGTGATTCTGATTCTGGAGATTTAGTACTGTATACCTACTGTAGTACTGTACACCTACTGTATACCTACTGTATACCTACTGTAGTACTGTATACCTACTGTATACCTACTGTAGTACTGTATACCTACTGTATACCTAATGTAGTACTGTATACCTACAGTAGTACTGTATACCTACTGTATACCTACTGTAGTACTGTATACCTACTGTATACCTACTGTAGTACTGTATACCTACTGTATACCTACTGTAGTACTGTATACCTACTGTATACCTACTGTAGTACTGTATACCTACTGTATACCTAATGTAGTACTGTATACCTACAGTAGTACTGTATACCTACTGTAGTACTGTATACCTACTGTATACCTACTGTAGTACTGTATACCTACTGTAGTACTGTATACCTACTGTATACCTACTGTTACCTACTGTAGTACTGTATACCTACTGTTACCTACTGTAGTACTGTATACCTACTGTAGTACTGTATACCTACTGTAGTATTGTATACCTACTGTAGTACTGTATACCTACTGTAGTACTGCATACCTACTGTAGTACTGTATACCTACTGTAGTACTGTATACCTACTGTAGTACTGCATACCTACTGTAGTACTGTATACCTACTGTAGTACTGTATACCTACTGTAGTACTGCATACCTACTGTATACCTACTGTATACCTACTGTAGTACTGTATACCTCCTGTAGTACTGTATACCTACTGTAGTACTGTATACCTACTGTAGTACTGCATACCTACTGTATACCTACTGTATACCTACTGTAGTACTGTATACCTACTGTATACCTACTGTAGTACTGTATACCTACTGTATACCTACTGTATACCTACTGTAGTACTGTATACCTCCTGTAGTACTGTATACCTCCTGTAGTACTGTATACCTACTGTAGTACTGCATACCTACTGTATACCTACTGTATACCTACTGTAGTACTGTATACCTCCTGTAGTACTGTATACCTACTGTAGTACTGCATACCTACTGTATACCTACTGTATACCTACTGTAGTACTGTATACCTCCTGTAGTACTGTATACCTACTGTAGTACTGTATACCTCCTGTAGTACTGTATACCTCCTGTAGTACTGTATACCTACTGTTACCTACTGTAGTACTGTATACCTACTGTTACCTACTGTAGTACTGCATACCTACTGTAGTACTGTATACCTCCTGTAGTACTGTATACCTACTGTAGTATTGTATACCTACTGTAGTACTGTATACCTACTGTAGTACTGTATACCTACAGTAGTACTGTAGTACTGTATACCTACTGTAGTACTGTATACCTCCTGTAGTACTGTATACCTCCTGTAGTACTGTATACCTACTGTAGTACTGTATACCTACAGTTTATTCAGAGCCCTTCCCTTTTTCCACATGTTGTAACATTAAAGCCTTATTCTGAAATGGATTAAGTAAATAATTCCCCTCATCAATCTACACACAATACCCCATAATGACAAAGCGAAAACAGGTTTTTAGAAATGTTTGCAAATGTATTAAAAATTAAAAACAGAAATACCTTATTTACATAAATATTCAGACCCTTTGCTATGAGACTCGAAATTGAGCTCAGGTGCATCCTGTTTCCATTGATCATCCTTGAGATGTTTCTACAACTTGATTGGAGTCCACCTGTGGCAAATTCAATTGATTGGACATGATTTGGAAAGGCACACACCTGTCTATATAAGGTCCCACAGTTGACAGTGCCTGTTAGAGCAAAAACCAAGCCATCAGGTCAAAGGAATTGTCCGTAGGGCTCCAAGACAGGATTGTGTCGAGTCACAGATCTGGGGAAGGGTACCAAAACATTTCTGCAGCATTGAAGGTCCCCAAGAACACAGTGGCCATCATTCTTAAATGGAAGAAGTTTGGAACCACCAAGACTCTTCCTAGAGCTGGCCGCCCGGCCAAACGGAGCAATCGGGGGAGAAGGGCCTTGGTCAGGGAGGTGACCAAGAACCCCATGTAGTCCCAGTAGTCCCCTGTAGCTCAGTTGGTAGAGCATCCTGTTGTCTGGACCTATGGCAGTCTCTATGGGGGTGCCACAGGGTTCAATTCTTGGGCCGACACTTTTCTCCGTGTATATCAATGATGTCGCTCTTGCTGCTGGTGACTCTCAGATCCACCTCTACGCAGACGACACCATTTTGTATACATCTGGCCCTTCATTGGACACTGTGTTAACAAACCTCCAAACGAGCTTCAATGCCATACAACAATCCTTCAGTAGCCTCCAACTGCTCTTAAACACTAGTAAAACTAAATGCATGCTTTTCAATCGAACGCTGCTGGCACCCGCCCCACCCGACTAGAATCACCACTCTCGACGGGTCTGACCTAGAGTATGTGGACAACTACAAATACCTAGGTGTCTGGTTAGACTGTAAACTCAACTTCCAGACTCACATAAAGAATCTCCAATCCAAAGTTAAATCTAGAATCGGCTTCCTATTTCGCAATAAAGCCTCCTTCACTCATGCTGCCAAACATGCCCTCGTAAAACTGACTATCCTACCGATCCTTGACTTCGGCGATGTAATTTACAAAATAGCCTCCAACACTCTACTCAGCAAATTGGATGTAGTCTATCACAGTGCCATCCGTTTTGTCTCCAAAGCCCCATACACTACCCACCACTGTGACCTGTACGCTCTTGTTGGCTGGTCCTCACTACATGTTCGTCGTCAAACCCACTGGCTCCAGGCCATCTATAAATCACTGCTAGGTAAATCCCCCGCCTTATCTTAGCTCATTGGTCACCATAGCAGCACCCCACCCGTAGTCTGCGCTCCAGCAGGTATATCTCACTGGTCATTCCCAAAGCCAACACCTCCTTTGGCCGCCATTCCTTCCAGTTCTCTGCTGCCAATGACTGGAACGAATTGCAAAAATCTCTGAAGCTGGAGACTCTGGAGGGAAAGATGAACGGAGCAAAGTACAGAGAGATCCTTGATGAAAACCTACTCCAGAGTGCTCAGGACCTCAGACTGGGAAGAAGGTTCACCTTCCAACAGGACAACGATCCTAAGCACACAGCCAAGACAACGCAGGAGTGGCTTCGGGACAAGTCTCTGAATGTCCTTGAATGGCCCAGCCAGAGTCTGGACTTGAACCCGATCAAACATCTCTGGAGAGACCTGAAAATATCTGTGCAGAGACGCTCCCCATCCAACCTGACAGAGCTTGCGAGGATCTGCAGAGAAGAATGGGAGAAACTCCCCAAATACAGGTGTGCCAAGCTTGTAGCGTCATACCCAAGAAGACTCGAAGCTGTAATCACTACCAAAGGTGCTTCAACAAAGTATTGAGTAAAGGGTCTGAATACTTACGTAAATGTGATATTTCCGTTTTTATTTTTAATACATTTGCAAAAATGTCTAAAAACCTGTTTTTGCGTTGTCATTATAGGGTATCGTGTGTAGATTGATGAGCAAAAAAAACAGTTGAAACCTTTTTAGAGTAACGTAACAAAATGTGGAAAAAGTGAAGGGGTCTGAATACTTTCCGAATGCACTGTACTGTAGTACTGTATACCTACTGGGGAAGGCAACATACAGTAGACCTCCTACCTACTAAACTAAATGCAATATTGCACAATGTGGACTATTATCTAGATCCAATGGAAAACTCCTTTATCTGGCTGAATGACCACTCTGCATGAACAGGTTAGGCCACTCTGACGGCTGCGCAATAGAGTGGATGAGATCAACTGAACTCTGGGTGTCCATGTTCTCTCTGTAGAACTGAACTCTGGGTGTCCATGTTCTCTCTGTAGAACTGAACTCTGGGTGTCCATGTTCTCTCTGTAGGTTCTACCGGACATGACGAGCATCGTGTCCAAATGGCAGTCATTGACCAAGAAGGAGAAAGGAGCGAATGAAGGGGATGCCAAAGAGGCTGCAACTAAAGTTGAACAACCCGGTATATGTCTTACATTTTAATATATTTACTGTCAGTGGAATGTTCTCTTCCTTGAATTATAATCTTCATACATACAGTTGAAGTTTACATACACGTAGGTTGGAGTCATTAAAACTAGTTTTTCAACCACTCCACACATTTCTTGTTAACAAACTATAGTTTTGGCAAGTCGGTTAGGACATCTACTTTGTGCATGACTCAAGTAATTTTTCCAACAATTGTTTACAGACAGATTATTTCACTTATAATTCACTGTATCACAATTCCAGTGGGTCAGAAGTTTACATACACTAAGTTGACTGTGCCTTTAAACAGCTTGGAATATTCCAGAAAATGATGTCATGGCTTTAGAAGCTTTCTGATAGGCTAATTGACATCATTTGAGTCAATTGGAGGTGTACCTGTGGATGTATTTCAAGGCCTACCTTCAAACTCAATGCCTCTTTACTCGACATCATGGGAAAATCAAAAGAAATCAGCCAAGACCTCAGAAAAGAAATTGTGCACCTCCACAAGTCTGGTTCATCCTTGGGAGCAATTTCCAAACGCCTGAAGGTACCACGTTCATCTGTACAAACAATAGTACGCAAGTATAAACACCATGGGACCACACAGCCGTCATACCGCTCAGGAAGGAGACGCGTTCTGTCTCCTAGAGATTAACGTACTTTGGTGCGAAAAGTGCAAATCTATCCCAGAACAACAGCAAAGGACCTTGTGAAAATGCTGGAGGAAACCGGTACAAAAGTATCTACAGTGAGGGGGGAAAAGTATTTGATCCCCTGCTGATTTTGTACGTTTGCCCACTGACAACGACATGATCAGTCTATAATTTTAATGGTAGGTTTATTTGAACAGTGAGAGACAGAATAACAACAACAAAATCCAGAAAAACGCATGTCAAAATTTTTATAAATTGATTAGCATTTTAATGAGGGAAATAAGTATTTGACCTCCTCTCAATCAGAAAGATTTCTGGCTCCCATGTGTCTTTTATACAGGTAACGAGCTGAGATTAGGAGCACACTCTTAAAGGGAGTGCTCCTAATCTCAGTTTGTTACCTGTATAAAAGACACCTGTCCACAGAAGCAATCAATCAATCAGATTCCAAACTCTCCACCATGGCCAAGACCAAAAAGCTCTCCAAGGATGTCAGGGACAAGATTGTAGACCTACACAAGGCTGGAATGGGCTACAAGACCATCGCCAAGCAGCTTGGTGAGACTGTGACAACAGATGGTGCGATTATTCGCAAATGGAAGAAACACAAAATAACTGTCCATCTCCCTCGGCCTGGGGCTCCATGCAAGATCTCACCTCGTGGAGTTGCAATGATCATAAGAACGGTGAGGAATCAGCCCAGAACTACACGGGAGGATCTTGTCAATGATCTCAAGGCAGCTGGGACCATAGTCACCAAGAAAACAATTGGTAACACACTACGCCGTGAAGGACTGAATGAAATCCTGCAGCGCACGCAAGGTCCCCCTGCTCAAGAAAGCACATATACAGGCCCGTCTGAAGTTTGCCAATGAACATCTGAATGATTCAGAGGAGAACTGGGAAAAAGTGTTGTGGTCAGATGAGACCAAAATCGAGCTCTTTGGCATCAACTCAACTCGCCGTGGTTGGAGGAGGAGGAATGCTGCCTATGACCCCAAGAACACCATCCCCACCGTCAAACATGGAGGTGGAAACATTATGCTTCGGGGGTGTTTTTCTGCTAAGGGGACAGGACAACTTCACCGCATCAAAGGGACGATGGACGGGGCCATGTACTGTCAAATCTTGGGTGAGAACCTCCTTCCCTCAGCCAGGGCATTGAAAATGGGTCGTGGATGGGTATTCCAGCATGACAATGACCCAAAACACACGGCCAAGGCAACAAAGGAGTGGCTCAAGAAGAAGCACATTAAGGTCCTGGAGTGGCCTAGCCAGTCTCCAGACCTTAATCCCATAGAAAATCTGTGGAGGGAGCTGAAGGTTTGAGTTGCCAAACGTCAGGCTTGAAACCTTAATGACTTGGAGAAGATATGCAAAGAGGAGTGGGACAAAATCCCTCCTGAGATGTGTGCAAACCTGGTGGCCAACTACAAGAAACGTCTGACCTCTGCAAAACATGACTAAGTACTTGGTGGCAAAACCCTTTTTGGCAATCACAAAGGGGTCAAATACTTATTTCCCTCATTAAAATGCAAATCAATTTATAACATTTTTGACATGCGTTTTTCTGGATTTTCTTGTTGTTATTCTGTCTCTCACTGTTCAAATAAACCTACCATTAAAATTATAGACTGATCATGTCTTTGTCAGTGGGCAAACGTACAAAATCACCAGGGGATCAAATACTTTTTTCCCTCATTGTATATCCACAGTAAAACTAGTCCTATATCGACATAACCTGAAAGGCTGCTCAGCAAGGAAGAAGCCACTGCTCCAAAACCGCCATAAAAAAGCCAGACTACGGTTTGCAACTGCACATGGGGACAAAGATCGTACTTTTTTGAGAAATGTCCTCTGGTCTGATGAAACAAAAATAGAACTGTTTGGCCATAATGACCATTGTTATGTTTGGAGGAAAAAGGGGGTTGCTTGCAAGCCGAAGAACACCATCCCAACCGTGAAGAACGGGGGTGGCAGCGTCATGCTGTGGGGGTGCTTCGCTGCAGGAGGGACTGGTGCACTTCACAAAATAGATGGCATCATGAGGAAGGAAAATGATGTGGATATATTGAAGCATCATCTCAAGACGTCAGTCAGGAAGTTAAAGCTTGGTCGCAAATGGGTCTTCCAAATGGACAATGACCCCAAGCATACTTCCAAAGTTGTGGCAAAATGGCTTAAGGACAACAAAGTCAAGGTATTGGAGTGGCCATCACAAAGCCCTGACCTCAATCCTATAGAACATTTGTGGGCAGAACTGAAAAAGCGTGTGCGAGCAAGGAGGCCTACAAACCTGACTCAGTTACACCAGCTCTGTCAGGAGGAATGGGCCAAAATTCACCCAATTTATTATGGGAAGCTTGTGGAAGGCTACCCGAAACATTTGACCTAAGTTAAACAATTTAAAGGCAATGCTACCAAATACTAATTGAGTGTATGTAAACTTCTGACCCACTGGGAATGTGATGAAAGAAATAAAAGCTGAAATAAATAATTCTCTCTACTATTATTCTGACATTTCACATTCTTAAAATAAAGTGGTGATCCTAACTGACCTAAGACGGGGAATCTTTACTAGAATTAAATGTAAGGAATTGTGAAAAACGGAGTTTAAATGTATTTGGCTAAGGCGTATGTAAACTTCCGACTTCAACTGTAATTGAAATTGACCTACTCCTTAACCAATATGGTATTTTTCCTAATTTCTATATTGTCCCGACTATAACCCTCTTTAATTGAACGAGGGGTGACTGACTCTCTCCTGTCTGTCTCTCTCCCGTCTGTCTGTCTCTCTCCCGTCTGTCTGTCTCTCTCCCGTCTGTCTGACTCTCTCCCGTCTGTCTGACTCTCTCCTATCGGTCTCTCTCCCGTCTGTCTGTCTCTCTCCCGTCGGTCTGTCTCTCTCCCGTCGGTCTGTCTCTCTCCCGTCGGTCTGTCTCTCTCCCGTCTGTCTGTCTCTCTCCCGTCTGTCTGTCTCTCTCCCGTCTGTCTGTCTCTCCCGTGCGTCTGTCTGTCTCTCTCCCGTCTGTCTGTCTCTCTCCCGTCGGTCTGTCTCTCTCCCGTCGGTCTGTCTCTCTCCCGTCGGTCTGTCTCTCTCCCGTCGGTCTGTCTCTCTCCCGTCGGTCTGTCTCTCTCCCGTCGGTCTGTCTCTCTCCCGTCTGTCTGTCTCTCTCCCGTCTGTCTGTCTCTCTCCCGTCTGTCTGTCTCTCTCCCGTCTGTCTGTCTCTCTCCCGTCGGTCTGTCTCTCTCCCGTCGGTCTGTCTCTCTCCCGTCGGTCTGTCTCTCTCCCGTCGGTCTGTCTCTCTCCCGTCGGTCTGTCTCTCTCCCGTCTGTCTGTCTCTCTCCCGTCTGTCTGACTCTCTCCCGTCTGTCTGACTCTCTCCCGTGCGTCGGTCTGTCTCTCTCCCGTCTGTCTGTCTCTCTCCTGTCGGTCTCTCTCCCGTCTGTCTGTCTCTCTCCCGTCTGTCTGTCTCTCTCCCGTGCGTCTGTCTGTCTCTCTCCCGTTTGTCTGTCTCTCTCCCGTCTGTCTGTCTCTCTCCCGTCTGTCTGACTCTCTCCTGTCTGTCTCTCTCCCGTCTGTCTGACTCTCTCCCGTCTGTCTGTCTCTCTCCCGTCGGTCTCCTCCAGGCCCGCCAGGCCCCGAGTCTCCAGAGGTCATCCTCCTAAAGGCCCTCATCCTTCAGGTTATGTGTCTCTACCAGAAGGTGGTCCCTCATCTGGTTAGCCAGAGCAGGTTTGACTTCAGCAAGCTGCTCAAAGGTACTGGTCTATAAACTGAATGGTTTGACTTCAGCAAGCTGCTCAAAGGTACTGGTCTATAAACTGAATGGTTTGACTTCAGCAAGCTGCTCAAAGGTACTGGTCTATAAACTGAATGGTTTGACTTCAGCAAGCTGCTCAAAGGTACTGGTCTATAAACTGAATGGTTCGACTTCAGCAAGCTGCTCAAAGGTACTGGTCTATAAACTGAATGGTTCGACTTCAGCAAGCTGCTCAAAGGTACTGGTCTATAAACTGAATGGTTTGACTTCAGCAAGCTGCTCAAAGGTACTGGTCTATAAACTGAATGGTTTGCCTTCAGCAAGCTCTCAAAGGTACTGGTCTATAAACTGAATGGATGGATGACTGATTGATTTGATTTGCTCTGTTGCTCTTTATTAGTCATGTTAAAAATATGGAAGTTGTCTTCTTGATGTAGTAACACAATGTAATATATATTAATTTGCTTTACATTGTGTTACTAAATTAAGAAGACCATCATATTTTTTTTAACATGACTGTAGTTATTGTATAGTTGTCACATCATTCTTAGTATCTGTATTGGTATCCAAAAGGCCTGTGAAATTATCCACTGATTGGGGATATCTTTAGGGATCATGTCCAAGTAAATTAAGTTAATGGTTAATGTATCTTGTCTCTCTCCCAGGTATCGTGTCAGAGAAAGGTATGAGGGAGGAGGTTCCTCCTGTACTCCAACACCACATACTACAGCTGGCCCTGGACCTGCCGGCCAGCAAGTTCTCCTGGTTCAGAGTTCAGGTGAGCTTCTAGACCAGCAAGTTCTCCTGGTTCAGAGTTCAGGTGAGCTTCTAGACCAGCAAGTTGTCCTGGTTCAGAGTTCAGGGGAGCTTCTAGACCAGCAAGTTCTCCTGGTTCAGAGTTCAGGGGAGCTTCTAGATCAGCAAGTTGTCCTGGTTCAGAGTTCAGGTGAGCTTCTAGACCAGCAAGTTCTCCTGGTTCAGAGTTCAGGTGAGCTTCTAGACCAGCAAGTTCTCCTGGTTCAGAGTTCAGGGGAGCTTCTAGATCAGCAAGTTGTCCTGGTTCAGAGTTCAGGTGAGCTTCTAGACCAGCAAGTTGTCCTGGTTCAGAGTTCAGGGGAGCTTCTAGACCAGCAAGTTGTCCTGGTTCAGAGTTCAGTTTAGAATGGAGCAGTACTTTTAATATCCCCTGCTTAAAGGCCATATCAGGAGCGTGGAACAGACCAGGGGTTGTCCTGTCTGCTATCTCGTGGAGTGACTTCAAAGGCAATGTGAGACAAAATCAACAGTAAAAGGCTGTTATTTGCAGGGGCGCAACTTTGGTTTGGAAGTGGTGGGGACATACGTCTGGGGGGGGTCCTCCCCCAGAATTATTTTGGGCATCTAAAGCTCATTTCCTGCATTTCTACACAATCTAATATGACCCTTTTGGAGTCACTTTTATTGTAAATAAGAATAATAATATGTTTCTAAACGCTTTTACATTAATGTGGATGCTACCATGATTATGGATAATCCTGAATGAATTGTGAATAATGATGAGTGGATATGTTATAGACGCACAAATATCATACCCCCCCAAAAAATGCTAACCTCCCCTGTTATGGTAATAGTTAGAGGTTAGCATGTCTTGGGGGTATAATATTTTTGCATCTGTAACGTTCTCACTCATCATTATTCATGATTCATTCAGATTATCTGTAATGGTAGCATTAATCCACATTAATGTAGAAGTGTTTAGAAACATTCTGTTCTTATTTACAGTGAAAGTGTCCCCTGTAGCTCAGTTGGTAGAGCATGGCGCTTGCAACGCCAGGGTTGTGGGTTCGTTTTCCACGGGGGGGGGGGGGGGGGCAGTATGAAAATGTATGCACTCACTAACTGTAAGTCGCTCTGGATAAGAGCGTCTGCTAAACGACTAAAATGTAAAGTGACTCCACAATACATTATTTACCAGTAATTTCTATTTGCCAGAAAATAATCTGAAACACAACCAAAACAAACAGCAAATATATCCAACAAATGTGTAGAGTCACGAGGTTGATGTAATCATTGTGTGCTATGAATATGGGAACAAATGCTTCACTTTTGACTACTTTAATACACATAAGTGAATTTGTCCCAATACTTTTGGTCTCCTAAAATGGGGGGGGGACTATGTACATAAATTGCTCTAATTTCCAAACGGTTCACCCGATATGGATGAAAATACCCTCAAATTAAAGATGACTATCTTCACTTTAACTTCAGTCATTGTTTGATTTCAAAACCATACTTTTGGAGTATAGAGCCAAAAGAAGAAAAAATGCTTCACTGACCCAATAATTACAGAGCTGTAATTAATATACTAATAGTATTGTAGAGCTCTTTTGACTTGTACACAATATAGTTGGGTCACCCCGTCCTGCCCCTAGGGGTCCACCACCCTGCAGCGCCCCACCACCCTGCAGCGCCCCACCACCCTGCAGCGCCCCACCACCCTGCAGCGCCCCAACCCAACACACCCCACTCAGCTTTAGGATCTTAGTTAAACATTCATTATTGGTTTCAGGTGTATTCCATATAGGGCATCCAGACCTTATGAAAGTTGCGCAGTACATTTACATTTTAGTAATTTAGCAGACGCTCTTATCCAGAGCGACTTACAGGAGCAATTAGGGTTAAGTGCCTTGCTCAAGGGCACATCGACAGATTGTTCACCTAGTCGGCTCGGGGATTAGAACCAGCGACCTTTCGGTTACTGGCACAACGCTCTTAACCACTAAGCTACCTGCCGCCCCGTATTAACAGGTCCATGGGCCGCAGGCCATGTCACCCTTTTCATTTTTGTATTTTTATATAAAAACAATATACATTTGTGTGTCCATTTCAACCAGCCCACCCAACAAAATAAATCTGGCTTCTATCCTGTAAGTGTTATTTCATGCTCTTTCAGGTTCCCTAACTAACTAAAAGTATTTCCGCACTGGGAGCAGTGGTATGTCTTCTCCTCGTGTGTGTATTGTCTCATGCTTTTTCAGGTTCCCTAACCGGGTAAATGTCTTTTCACACTGAGAGCAGTGGTAGGTATTTTTTTCTGTGCGTGTTCTCTCATGATATTTAAAGCCCCCTAACTGGGTAAAAGTCTTTCCACACAGGGAGCACTGTGTGGTCAAATATAATGATAAATAGCTTGACATTTCTGACACACATTGTGGGAGGATAACCAACCTTCCAATTGATGGCAATGCATTTCTTAGCCGCTATAAATGCCTGGTTACACAGTTTCTTCTGATAACAGTCTCCAATATCAACATCTACGAGCAAACAAAAAAAAGGGAGAATGGAGAATCTGTAGACGTGCTGAGATAAAATAACATACTCTTGGACAGAATTCCAAAGGAATGCCTAGGATTTGTTTCTCCTTTATGACCCTGTGGTCATGACATTACTGTCCTGCTGTTGTTTCTCCCCTCTCTGTCAGGATCATGTGGAGACAGAGGCGGGCTCTGGGGAGAAGTCTGTGTTCTTCCTGCTCCTCAAGATGTTTGTGAGCAGCAACAACAGCCACCTGAAGATCTCCACCAGGAAACTGGTGGTCAAGGTGAGCACACATACTGCCTCAGCTCACTCCTGGTTTGAATCACATACTGGGCGCTCTATTCCCTAACATAGTGCACTACTTTTGACCAGTGGTGGAAAGTACTTAAGTAAAAAATACTTTAAAGTACTACTTAAGTAGTTTTTTGGGGTATCTTTACTATTTATATTTTTGACAACTTTTACTTTCTCTTCACTACGTTCCTAATGAAAATAATGTACTTTTTACTCCATACATTTTCCCTGACACCCAAAAGTACTCGTTACATTTTGAATGCTTAGCCGGACAGAAAATGGTACAATTCACACACTTATCAAGATAACATCCCTGGTCATCCCTACTGCCTCTGATCTGGCGGACTCACTAAACACACATGCTTTGTTTGTAAATGTCTGAGTGTGGGCGTGTGCCCCTGGTTATCCATAAATAACAAAAACAAGAAAACTGTGAAGTCTGGTTTGCTTAATATAAGCAATTTGAAATGATTCATACTTTTACTTTTGAAACTTAAGTATATTTAAAACCAAATACTTTTGTAGACTTTTTTTTTACTCAAGTATTATTTTACTGGGTGACTTTCACTTTAACGTGAGTCATTTTCTATTAAGGAAATATTTACTTTTACTCAAGTATGACAATTGGGTACTTTTTCCACCACTGCTTTTGACCAGGGCCCGTAGTGGGTCAAAAGTGTCCGCTAAATGACTAAAATGTAAATGTAAATGTAGTTCACTGAATAGGGAATGTAGTGTACCCACTGACTCTCTTCGCCCAACGTAGAAAGAAGATGAATCGTAGGGTACTTACTGAGTACACCTACAAAGAGTTCCTGTTAAACTCCTTTCCCTCCACTGTGTGGTATAGGTGCTGAAGGACAGTGGAGTGTTTGAGTACACCTGGTCTGAACTGGAGCTTTGGCTGAATCACCTACTCAAACTAGAACCAGACCAGCAGGATACAGTCATACACTTCCTGGAGAGGGTCAGTCACCTGGTCTACCTCCATAGATACAGTTGATCGATCGATCAATTGATACGTCAATCAATTAATCAATCGATCGTAGATACCCTCAATCGATCAATCTATCGTTACGCTACGATCTTCATCATAAGTAGCATAAAATAAAATATCAACACCTTCTTACCCGAGGCCTTTTGCGCTTAGGGATTGATTGATTGATTGGTTGATTGTTTGATTGGGTGGTTGATTGTTTGATTGCATTATGCTATTTATGATACAGTATGTGTCTGTCTTCTCTGTGATGTGTGTATGTCCCCAGGTGCTGGTGTGTAACCCTGTGGTGTGTGTATGTCCCCAGGTGCTGGTGTGTAACCCTGTGGTGTGTGTATGTCCCCAGGTGCTGGTGTGTCTGGTGTGTAACCCTGTGATGTGTGTATGTCCCCTGGTGCTGGTGTGTCTGGTGTGTAACCCTGTGATGTGTGTATGACCCCAGGTGCTGGTGTGTAACCCTGTGATGTGTGTATGACCCCAGGTGCTGGTGTGTAACCCTGTGGTGTGTGTATGTCCCCAGGTGCTGGTGTGTAACCCTGTGGTGTGTGTATGTCCCCAGGTGCTGGTGTGTAACCCTGTGATGTGTGTATGTCCCCAGGTGCTGGTGTGTAACCCTGTGATGTGTGTATGTCCCCAGGTGCTGGTGTGTAACCCTGTGATGTGTGTATGACCCCAGGTGCTGGTGTGTAACCCTGTGGTGTGTGTATGTCCCCAGGTGCTGGTGTGTCTGGTGTGTAACCCCTACACCTACACAGACAAGGTGGCTAGTCTAGTCCAGGACGCAGCCTTTCTACAGGCCAATCTCAGCGGACAGGACGAAGACACCGCCAGCATCCCCATCTCACACATAGACGGTTGGTGACTACTATATAATTACTAGTGAAGACAAAGCCTTGGCCTGGTGTGAAACATAGCTAGTGAAGACAAAGCCTTGGCCTGGTGTGAAACATAGCTAGTGAAGACAAAGCCTTGGCCTAGTGTGAAACATAGAGTGGGGGAAAAAAAGTATTTAGTCAGCCACCAATTGTGCAAGTTCTCCCACTTAAAAAGATGAGAGAGGTCTGTAATTTTCATCATAGGTACACGTCAACTATGACAGACAAATTGAGGGAAAAAAATCCAGAAAATCACATTGTAGGATTTTGAATGAATTTATTTGCAAATTATGGTGGAAAATAAGTATTTGGTCACCTACAAACAAGCAAGATGTCTGGCTCTCACAGACCTGTAACTTCTTCTTTAAGAGGCTCCTCTGTCCTCCACTCGTTACCTGTATTAATGGCACCTGTTTGAACTTGTTATCAGTATAAAAGACACCTGTCCACAACCTCAAACAGACACACTCCAAACTCCACTATGGCCAAGACCAAAGAGCTGTCAAAGGACACCAGAAACAAAATTGTAGACCTGCACCAGGCTGGGAAGACTGCATCTGCAATAGGTAAGCAGCTTGGTTTGAAGAAATCAACTGTGGGAGCAATTATTAGGAAATGGAAGACATACAAGACCACTGATAATCTCCCTCGATCTGGGGCTCCACGCAAGATCTCACCCCGTGGGGTCAAAATGATCACAAGAACGGTGAGCAAAAATCCCAGAACCACACGGGGGGACCTAGTGAATGACCTGCAGAGAGCTGGGACCAAAGTAACAAAGCCTACCATCAGTAACACACTACGCCGCCAGGGACTCAAATCCTGCAGTGCCAGACGTGTCCCCCTGCTTAAGCCAGTACATGTCCAGGCCCGTCTGAAGTTTGCTAGAGTGCATTTGGATGATCCAGAAGAGGATTGGGAGAATGTCATATGGTCAGATGAAACCAAAATAGAACTTTTTGGTAAAACCTCAACTCGTCGTGTTTGGAGGACAAAGAATGCTGAGTTGCATCCAAAGAACACCATACCTACTGTGAAGCATGGGGGTGGAAACATCATGCTTTGGGGCTGTTTTTCTGCAAAGGGACCAGGACGACTGATCCGTGTAAAGAAAAGAATGAATGGGGCCACGTATCGTGAGATTTTGAGTGAAAACCTCCTTCCATCAGCAAGGGCATTTTAAAAAATTTTAGTTCACCTTTATTTAACCAGGTAAGCCAGTTGAGAACAAGTTCTCATTTACAACTGCGACCTGGCCAAGATAAAGCAAAGCAGTGCGATAAAAACAACAACACAGAGTTACATATGGGGTAAAAAAAACATAAAGTCAAAAAATACAACAGAAAATATATATACAGTGTGTGCAAATGTAGCAAGTTATGGAGGTAAGGCAATAAATAGGCTATAGTGCAAAATAATTACAATTAGTATTAACACTGGAATGCTAGATGTGCAAGAGATTATGTGCAAATAGAGATACTGGGGTGCAAAAGAGCAAAATAAATAACAATATAGGGATGAGGTAGTTGGGTGGGCTAATTTCAGATGGGCTGTGTACAGGTGCAGTGATCGGTAAGGTGCTCTGACAACTGATGCTTAAAGTTATTGAGGGAGATAAGAGTCTCCAGCTTCAGAGATTTTTGCAATTCGTTCCAGTCATTGGCAGCAGAGAACTGGAAGGAATGGCGGCCAAAGGAGGTGTTGGCTTTGGGAATGACCAGTGAGATATACCTGCTGGAGCGCAGACTACGGGTGGGTGCTGCTATGGTGACCAATGAGCTAAGATAAGGCGGGGATTTGCCTAGCAGTGATTTATAGATGGCCTGGAGCCAGTGGGTTTGACGACGAACATGTAGTGAGGACCAGCCAACAAGAGCGTACAGGTCACAGTGGTGGGTAGTGTATGGGGCTTTGGAGACAAAATAGATGGTACTGTGATAGACTACATCCAATTTGCTGAGTAGAGTGTTGGAGGCTATTTTGTAAATGACATCGCCGAAGTCAAGGATCGGTAGGATAGTCAGTTTTACGAGGGCATGTTTGGCAGCATGAGTAAAGGAGGCTTTGTTGCGAAATAGGAAGCCGATTCTAGATTTAACTTTGGATTGGAGATTCTTAATGTGAGTCTGGAAGGAGAGTTTACGGTCTAACCAGACACCTAGGTATTTGTAGTTGTCCACATACTCTAGGTCAGACCCGTCGAGAGTGATGATTCTAGTCGGGTGGGCGGGTGCCAGCAGCGTTCGATTGAAGAGCATGCATTTAGTTTTACTAGTGTTTAAGAGCAGTTGGAGGCTACTGAAGGAGTGTTGTATGGCATTGAAGCTCGTTTGGAGGTTTGTTAACACAGTGTCCAATGAAGGGCCAGATGTATACAAAATGGTGTCGTCTGCGTAGAGGTGGATCTGAGAGTTACCAGCAGCAAGAGCGACATCATTGATATACACGGAGAAAAGAGTCGGCCCAAGAATTGAACCCTGTGGCACCCCCATAGAGACTGCCATAGGTCCAGACAACAGGCGCTCCGATTTGACACATTGAACTCTATCTGAGAAGTAGTTGGTGAACCAGGCGAGGCAGTCATTTGAGAAACCAAGGCTATTTAGTCTGCCAATAAGAATGCGGTGGTTGAGAGTCGAAAGCCTTGGCCAGGTCGATGAAGACGGCTGCACAGTACTGTCTATTATCGATCGCGGTTATAATATCGTTTTTATTTATTTTTTTATTTTTTTATTTCACCTTTATTTAACCAGGTAAGCCAGTTGAGAACAGGTTCTCATTTACAACTGCGACCTGGCCAAGATAAAGCAAAGTAGTGCAATAAAAACAACACAGAGTTACATATGGGGTAAAAAACATAAAGTCAGAAATACAACAGAAAATATATATACAGTGTGTGCAAATGTAGCAAGTTATGGAGGTAAGGCAATAAATAGGCTATAGTGCAGAATAATTACAATAGTATTAACACTGGAATGCTAGATGTGCAAGAGATTATGTGCAAATAGAGATACTGGGGTGCAAAAGAGCAAAATAAATAACAATATAGGGATGAGGTAGTTGGGTGGGCTAATTTCAGATGGGCTGTGTACAGGTGCAGTGATCGGTAAGGTGCTCTGACAACTGATGCTTAAAGTTATTTAGGGAGATAAGAGTCTCCAGCTTCAGAGATTTTTGCAATTCGTTCCAGTCATTGGCAGCAGAGAACTGGAAGGAATGGCGGCCAAAGGAGGTGTTGGCTTTGGGAATGACCAGTGAGATATACCTGCTGGAGCGCAGACTACGGGTGGGTGCTGCTATGGTGACCAATGAGCTAAGATAAGGCGGGGATTTGCCTAGCAGTGATTTATAGATGGCCTGGAGCAAGTGGGTTTGACGACGAACATGTAGTGAGGACCAGCCAACAAGAGCGTACAGGTCACAGTGGTGGGTAGTGTATGGGGCTTTGGAGACAAAACGGATGGCACTGTGATAGACTACATCCAATTTGCTGAGTAGGGTGTTGGAGGCTATTTTGTAAATTACATCGCCGAAGTCAAGGATCGGTAGGATAGTCAGTTTTACGAGGGCATGTTTGGCAGCATGAGTGAAGGAGGCTTTATTGCGAAATAGGAAGCCGATTCTAGATTTAACTTTGGATTGGAGATTCTTTATGTGAGTCTGGAAGTTGAGTTTACAGTCTAACCAGACACCTAGGTATTTGTAGTTGTCCACATACTCTAGGTCAGACCCGTCGTGTTTAGGACCTTGAGCGTGGCTGAAGTGCACCCATGACCAGCTCGGAAACCGGATTGCATAGCGGAGAAGGTACGGTGGGATTCGAAATGGTCGGTGATCTGTTTGTTAACTTGGCTTTCAAATACTTTCGAAAGGCAGGGCAGGATGGATATAGGTCTGTAACAGTTTGGATCTAGAGTGTCACCCCCTTTGAAGAGGGGGATGACCGCGGCAGCTTTCCAATCTCTGGGGATCTCAGACGTTACGAAAGAGAGGTTGAACAGGCTAGTAATAGGGGTTGCGACAATTTCGGCGGCTAGTTTTAGAAAGAAAGGGTCCAGATTGTCTAGCCCAGATGATTTGTAGGGGTCCAGATTTTGCAGCTCTTTCAGAACATAATTTGTGTGAAGGAGAAGCGGGGGGGCATGGGCAAGTTGCAGCGGAGGGTGCAGAGCTGGTGGCCGGGGTAGTCGTAGCCAGGTGGAAAGCATGGCCAGCCGTAGCAAAATGCTTGTTGAAATTCTCGATTATTGTAGATTTATCGCTGGTGATAGTGTTTCCTAGCCTCAGTGCAGTGGGCAGCTGGGAGGAAGTGCTCTTATTCTCCATGGACTTTACAGTGTCCCAAAACTTTTTGGAGTTAGTGCTACAGGATGCAAATTTCTGTTTGAAAAAGTTAGCCTTTGCTTTCCTGACTGCTTGTGTATATTGGTTCCTAACTTCCCTGAAAAGTTGCATATCGCGGGGGCTATTTGATGCTAATGCAGTACGCCACAGGATGTTTTTGTGCTGGTCAAGGGCAGTCAAGTCTGAGGAGAACCAGGGGCTATATCTGTTCTTAGTTCTGTATTTTTTGAATGGGGCATGTTTATTTAAGGCATTGAAGATGAAACGTGGCTGGGTCTTTCAGCATGACAATGATCCCAAACACACCGCCCGGGCAACGAAGGAGTGGCTTCGTAAGAAGCATTTCAAGGTCCTGGAGTGGCCTAGCCAGTCTCCAGATCTCAACCCCATAGAAAATCTTTGGAGGGAGTTGAAAGTCTGTGTTGCCCAGCGACAGCCCCAAAACATCACTGCTCTAGAGGAGATCTGCATGGAGGAATGGGCCAATATACCAGCAACAGTGTGTGAAAACCTTGTGAAGACTTACAGAAAACGTTTGACCTGTGTCATTGCCAACAAAGGGTATATAACAAAGTATTGAGAAACTTTTGTTATTGACCAAATACTTATTTTCCACCATAATTTGCAAATAAATTCATAAAAAATTCTACAATGTGATTTTCTGGATTTTGTTTTCTCATTTTGTCTGTCATAGTTGACGTGTACCTATGATGAAAATTACAGGCCTCTCTCATCTTTTTAAGTGGGAGAACTTGCACAATTGGTGGCTGACTAAATACTTTTTTCCCCCACTGTAGCTAGTGAAGACAAAGCCTTGGTCTGGTGTGAAACATAGCTAGTGAAGACAAAAGCCTTGGCCTGGTGTGAAACATAGCTAGTGAAGACAAAGCCTCGGCCTAGTGTGAAACATTGTACTGCTGTATCTCTAGACGTGCTGGACATGGTTGATGTGATCATGGAGGGCAGCGAGGGGGAGACGGAGGAGCTGGGCCCGGCGCTTAGTGATGACCTCATCCTCCAGACCTTCCCTTTCAGTGCCGTGGTACCTGCTGTCCTGGAGGCCAGGAACAAACTACCTGCTACCTACAGAACGGAGAAAGGTAAACTACTGAAGTACTTCCTGGCTGGCTGTCGGACTGACTGTCTGGCCGTCTGGGGCTCGTTCAAACACTCAGCCTTGTTTGCTTCTTTTTAAATGTAGTGTGAGCCATCCAATGTATGTGTCTTGGTGCATGTGGGTATTCATAGATGTTTCTAATCCCGTCTCTGTATTTGACCCTAGGGGTGGTGTATAATGTAATCTTGTGTATTTGACCCCAGGGATGGTGTATAATGTTGTGTATTTGACCCCAGGGATGGTGTATAATGTAATCTTGTGTATATTGACCCTAGGGGTGGTGTATAATGTAATCTTGTGTATTTGACCCTAGGGGTGGTGTATAATATAATATTGTGTATTTGACCCCAGGGATGGTGTATAATGTAATCGTGTGTATTTGACCCTAGAGATGGTGTATAATGTAATCGTGTGTATATTGACCCTAGGGGTGGTGTATAATATAATCTTGTGTATTTGACCCCAGGGATGGTGTATAATGTAATGTTGTGTATTTGACCCTAGGGGTGGTGTATAATGTAATGTTGTGTATTTGACCCCAGGGATGGTGTATAATGTAATGTTGTGTATTTGACCCCAGGGATGGTGTATAATGTAATGTTGTGTATTTGACCCCAGGGATGGTGTATAATGTAATGTTGTGTATTTGACCCTAGGGATGGTGTATAATATAATATTGTATATTTAGGTGTGGTATATGACTACATGGCAACAGTCCTATGTGACGTGCTCCACTGTCAGAGAGACCCTCTGCCCCTCAGCCTGGCCCTTCTACAGTACGATAAAGAGCTGGACTCCTCTGAAGACCCTCCCCATCCCTCCATCATTCACCTCCATCACTACTACACAACATGGCTGCCCCAACAGGCGCGCGAACATCTGGTCAGAACACCTCCCTCTCCTCACGATCATGCAGATAACTTATTATTATTGTGTTTTAATATCAGTCTTATTACATGTAGTAGTGTTATCATGTTCATACGTGTTCATAATAGCATTATTTGTAAAAGTGTGTTTAGAGTATTTCATAGTGGTAATTACAATTGTATTATTATGTATCCACAACAAACTCCTGTTCTATCGTCTCTCCTCTGTCCGACAGTTCCTGTCCTGGGAAAGCCCTGTCGATGTCTCTCCTACTCCTGTGACCTTTGCTGACCTACTGAAGACAACCTACAGCCAAGGGGCCTCTGCCCTGCTAGAAGACTCCTTCAGACGGAGAATAGAGGAGCGTCTGGCCGCTATGGCGATGGCTGAGTATCCTGTTGCAGCCAAGCAGATCCTACTGTACATCAAAACCACTGTGGACAACTTCAGCATGGTACAGAGAAACACTCGCCGAACCTTTTATGTGAACGCTGCTTTTTCTCGCTGTTATCAAGCTGCGTCTGCCGTGATCTGTTCCTAACACGTTGCCTCCTGTCTCTCCACAGTTGTCTATAGACACAGGGCTGCTGGCACTGAATGTCCTGATGGGAGTTCTCCAGGGGTTGGTGTTGAGGCTTCAGAGCCCACAGGAACAAACTGAGGCAACCGAGGTAGAGCCCATGGTCGCAGCAGAGACTGAGCCCATGGTCGCAGCAGAGACTGAGCCCATGGTCGCAGCAGAGACTGAGCCCGTGGTCGCAGCAGAGACTGAGCCCGTGGTCGCAGCAGAGACTGAGCCCGTGGTCGCTGATCAGAAGGCAGCAGAGACAGCCGTTCCCATGGCTGTGGTTCCTACGGTGGCAGCAGAGACTGAGCCCATGGCTATGGGTCAGGACACAGCCACAGTAGTAGATCCAGCCAAGGCAGCAGAACCCAAAGCTGTGGACCTCCTGGAGGGATCGGATCTCTTCCTGGAGGTCAACCCCTCTTCGGAAGTAGAGGACAACGACAACCTGGTAGGACCAGGAGCCTTTTTACTGGAAGTAGAATACCAGATGTAGTAGTCAGTAACTCTTTGTGGCGTATCTTTAGAGTCGTACCCTTGTTCTCCTTTGTTTACTGCTGCTTAACAACGTATCCCTGGTTCGATTTGGGAGATTTTTTGTTTACCTTTTTTTGTTCTCGTGATATGATGTACTGTGTCCTTTCTGGCCGTGTCTGTAGGTGGTGTTGTCAGTGCTGAGTTCCATCCTGAAGCACCCATGTATCGAGCAGTGGTTCCTGTCTCTGGAGTTGTCCTCTGTCCCTCCTACCTCCCTCAACCCGGTCAGGCTGAAGCTGCTGTGTGCTGAACTGTCTGACTGCATCCTGGGTCTGTTACAGTCCTCCGCCTCCGCCCTGCGATCCCTGGACTCCCTCTATCTCCTCTCCCCTTACCTAGAGGCTGTATCAAGGGCTCTGCTCAGAGAGCTGGGGGAGAGGAGGGAGACCGACAAGGAGTCCCGGCCTGTGAGAGCCTTCGTGGCGCTGCATGCCTACATGGAGCCCTCTCTCTTCCAGGAGCTGGTCTCTTCTCTTCTCCTACTCCCCCAGGAGACACTCATCACCCCGGGGGAGAGTTACCAGGAGGGGGAAGAAGACGGTGAGAAGAGCTCCAGAGCAGCAGAGCTCAGTGTCTATGGACGCACGGCACTACATGTCCTCACCGAGACCTCTTCGTCCGGCTCCCCTCTCCTCCTCCTCTCCCAGGCCCACCTCCAAGGCCTGGCCACCCTGCTCCTGTCCTGCTCCAGCCCATCTCTGGAGACCTTCCTCCTGCAGGCCCTGAGGACCCAGCCAGGCAACGCTAAACTCCTCCACACTGACGTCCTGCTCCACTGTCTCCAGGGGCCTCCTACTGCAGCCGCCAAAGCCCTCGGGGCAGCCCTGCTGCACAACTGCTCTACTCACAGGCTCCGCTTCGAGGTGTGGTGCCTGCAGCCGCAGCACCTGGAGAAACTCACGGACCAGACGGGGGCATTCCTACCGCTGGTCAACAGCTACCTGCAGACTGCAGCCAGAGAGGACCCTGCCAGGCCTAATGAAGGTAGGTGGTTGTGGCCTAGTCTGCAGTGTCAGACTCATTGGAACTATATTTATACTCCCACCGTTGGAAAATCCTAACTTCCACTGATTTAGTCTCTCATTGACATTAATGCATGACTAAAGAAGTTTAAAGTTTAAGAACCAACCATGCACGATCACAGTCACCATGTTGTTCGGGGTTGTCCCACAGTTCAGACAGCGGTGCTGAAGGTCCTGAAGCAGGCCCTGCTCCCCAGGTTGATCCTCTCTGTGCTGGGGCAGGAGACAGGGGAGGCCCTGGGGGCTGTGGAGGTTGTGGAGGCTCTCTCCAGCCTGGTCATACTGGCAGCTAAGGTCAAGGACATCAGAGAGCTCATCACCTCCCTGCCCGCTGCCCTGCAGAAACTAGACGGCTTTGAAAGGTAATGTCTTCGTACGGGTATTACCTCAGTAAAACTTGGCCGAAATGGTCAAATGAAGGTGTGCATTCCAGACCTTTCTGTGTAGGTTGTTGTATAATGTTGATGTGATTCCTAATGTGACTTCTCCAGGCATTGTGATATCTGATCATTTGTTCTGACTTTTCAAATCAAATCAAATGTTATTTGTCACATGCGCCGACTACAACAGATGTAGACCTTACAGTGAAATGCTTACTTACAAGCCCTTAACCAACAATGCAGTTCAAGAAATAGAGTTAAGAAAATATTAACTAAATAAACTAAAGTAAAATATAAAGTAACAATAAAATAACAATAACGAGGCTATATACAGGGGGTACCGGTACTGAGTCAATGTGTGGGGGTACAGGTTAGTTGAGGTAATTTGTACATGTACAGTGGGGGAAAAAAGTATTTAGTCAGCCACCAATTGTGCAAGTTCTCCCACTTAAAAAGATGAGAGAGGCCTGTAATTTTCATCATAGGTACACGTCAACTATGACAGACAAATTGAGAGAGAAAAAAATCCAGAAAATCACATTGTAGGATTTTTAATGAATTTATTTGCAAATTATGGTGGAAAATAAGTATTTGGTCACCTACAAACAAGCAAGATTTCTGGCTCTCACAGACCTGTAACTTCTTCTTTAAGAGGCTCCTCTGTCCTCCACTCGTTACCTGTATTAATGGCACCTGTTTGAACTTGTTATCAGTATAAAAGACACCTGTCCACAACCTCAAACAGTCACACTCCAAACTCCACTATGGCCAAGACCAAAGAGCTGTCAAAGGACACCAGAAACACAATTGTAGACCTGCACCAGGCTGGGAAGACTGAATCTGCAATAGGTAAGCAGCTTGGTTTGAAGAAATCAACTGTGGGAGCAATTATTAGGAAATGGAAGACATAAAAGACCACTGATAATCTCCCTCGATCTGGGGCTCCACGCAAGATCTCACCCCGTGGGGTCAAAATGATCACAAGAACGGTGAGCAAAAATCCCAGAACCACACGGGGGGACCTAGTGAATGACCTGCAGAGAGCTGGGACCAAAGTAACAAAGCCTACCATCAGTAACACACTACGCCGCCAGGGACTCAAATCCTGCAGTGCCAGACGTGTCCCCCTGCTTAAGCCAGTACATGTCCAGGCCCGTCTGAAGTTTGCTAGAGTGAATTTGGATGATCCAGAAGAGGATTGGGAGAATGTCATTTGGTCAGATGAAACCAAAATATAACTTTTTGGTAAAAACTCAACTCGTCGTGTTTGGAGGACAAAGAATGCTGAGTTGCATCCAAAGAACACCATACCTACTGTGAAGCATGGGGGTGGAAACATCATGCTTTGGGGCTGTTTTTCTGCAAAGGGACCAGGACGACTGATCAGTGTAAAGGAAAGAATGAATGGGGCCATGTATCGTGAGATTTTGAGTGAAAACCTCCTTCCATCAGCAAGGGCATTGAAGATGAAACGTGGCTGGGTCTTTCAGCATGACAATGATCCCAAACACACCGCCCGGGCAACGAAGGAGTGGCTTCATAAGAAGCATTTCAAGGTCCTGGAGTGGCCTAGCCAGTCTCCAGATCTCAACCCCATAGAAAATCTTTGGAGGGAGTTGAAAGCCTGTGTTGCCCAGCGACAGCCCCAAAACATCACTGCTCTAGAGGTGATCTGCATGGAGGAATGGGCCAAAATACCAGCAACAGTGTGTGAAAACCTTGTGAAGACTTACAGAAAACGTTTGACCTGTGTCATTGCCAACAAAGGGTATATAACAAAGTATTGAGAAACTTTTGTTATTGACCAAATACTTATTTTCCACCATAATTTGCAAATAAATTCATAAAAAATCCTACAATGTGATTTTCTGGAATTGTTTTTCTCATTTTGTCTGTCATAGTTGACGTGTACCTATGATGAAAATTACAGGCCTCTCTCGTCTTTTTAAGTGGGAGAACTTGCACAATTGGTGGCTGACTAAATACTTGTTTTCCCCACTGTAGGTAGGGGTAAAGTGACTATGCATAGATAATAAACAGCGAGTAGCAGCAGTGTAAAAACAAATAGTCCAGGTGGCCATTTGATTAATTGTTCTGCAGTCTTATGGCTTGGGGGCAGAAGCTGTTAAGAAGCCGTTTGGACCTAGACATGGCGCTCCGGTACCGTTTGCCATTCGGTAGCAGAGAGAACAGTCTATGACTTGGGTGACTGGAGTCTTTGACAATGTTTTGGGCCTTCCTCTGACACCGCCTGGTATAGAGGTCCTGGATGGCAGGAAGCTTGGCCCCAGTGATGTACTGGGCCATACGCACTACCCTCTGTAGCGCCTTACGGTCGGATGCCGAGCAGTTGCCATACCAGGCGGTGATGCAACCGGTCAGGATGCTCTCGATGGTGCAGCTGTAGAACTTTTTGAGGATCTGGGGACCCATGCCAAATCTTTTCAGTCTCCTGAGGGGGAAAAGGTGTTGTCGTGTCCTCTTCCCGACTGTCTTGGTGTGTTTGGACCATGATAATTTGTTGGTGATGTGGACACCAAGGAACTTGGAACTCTCGACCCGCTCCATTACAGCCCCGTCAATGTTAATGGGGTTGTGTTTGGCCCTCCTTTTCCTGTAGTTCGCGATCATCTCCTTTGTCTTGCTCACATTGAGGGAGAGTTTGTTGTCCTGGCACCACACTGCCAGGTCTCTGGCCTCCTCCCTATAGGCTGTCTTATCGTTGTCGGTGATCAGGCCTACCACCGTTGTGTCATCAGCAAACTTAATGATGCTGTTGGAGTCGTGCTTGGCCACGCAGTCGTGGGTGAACAGGGAGTACAGGATGGGACTAAGCACACACCCCTGAGGGGCCCCCGTGTTGAGGATCAGCGTGGCAGATGTGTTCTTGCTTACCTTTACCACCTGGGGGCGGCCCGTCAGGAAGTTCAGGATCCAGTTGCAGAGGGAGGTGTTTAGTCCCAGGGTCCTTAGCTTAGTGATGAGCTTTGTGGGCACTATGGTGTTGAACGCTGAGCTGTAGTCAATGAACAGCATTCTCACATAGGTGTTCCTTTTGTCCAGGTGGGAAAGGGCAGTGTGGAGTGCAATAGAGATTGTATCATCTGTGGATCTGTTGGGGCGGTATGCAAATTGGAGTGGGTCTTGGGTTTCCGGGATGATGGTATTGATGTGAGCCATAACAAGCCTTTCAAAGCACTTCATGGCTACCGACATGGTACAGGGTAGTAGTCATTTAGGCAGGTTACCTTCACTTTCTTGGGCACAGCTGGTGCTCTCATGCATGCTTCAGTGTTGCTTGCCTCGAAGCAAGCATAAAAGCCATTTAGCTCGTCTGGTAGGCTCGTGTCACTGGGCAGCTCACGGCTGGGTTTCGCTCTGTAGTACGTAATAGTTTGCAAGCCCTGCCACATCTGATGAGCGTCAGAGCTGGTGTAGTAGGATTCAATCTTAGTCCTGGATTGACGCTTTGCCTGTTTGATGGTTCGTCTGAGGACATAGAGGGATTTCTTATAGGCGTCCGGATTAGTGTCCCGCTCCTTGAAAGCGGCAGCTCTAGCCTTTAGCTCGGTGCGGATGTTGCCTGTAATCCATGGCATCTGGTTGGAATATGTACGTACGGTCAATGTGGGGACGACGTCGTCGTCGATGCACTTATTGATGAAGCCGGTGACTGAGGTGGTATACTCCTCAATGCCATTGGATGAATCCCGGAACATATTCCAGTCTGTGCTAGCAAAACAGTCCTGTAGCGTAGCATCTGCGTCATCTGACCACTTCCATATTGAGCGAGTCACTGGTGCTTCCTGCTTTAGTTTTTCCTTGTAAGCAGGAATCAGGAGGATATAATTATGGTCAGATTTGCCAAATAGAGGGCGAGGGAGAGCTTTGTATGCGTCTCTGTGTGTGGAGTAAAGGTGGTCTAGAGTTTTTTGTCTTCTGGTTGCACATGTGACATGCTGGTAGAAATGAGATAAAATGGATTTAAGTTTCCCTGCATTAAAGTCCCCGGCCACTAGGCGCACCTTGCAACTCTGCCTACATTTACATTTACATTTTAGTCATTTAGCAGACGCTCTTATCCAGAGCGACTTACAGTTAGACCAGTGTGTAATCCGGCCAAATATCGAACCATGTCTCTGAGTTGATAAGGGTCATTTGTGTGTGTGTGCGTGCATGTGTCTGTCTGCGTTTGTAGGTCAGCATCCCGGAGTCGCCTCTTCACTGTTGACGTTGAGACTGGTGTTTTGCGGGTACTATTTAATGAAGCTGCCAGTTGAGGACCTGTGAGGCGTCTGTTTCTCAAACTAGACACTCTAATGTATTTGTCCTCTTGCTCAGTTGTGCACCGGGGCCTCCCACTCCTCTTTCTATTCTGGTTAGAGCCAGTTTGCGCTGTTCTGTGAAGGGAGTAGTACACAGCGTTGTACGAGATCTTCAGCTTCTTGGCAATTTCTCGCATGGAATAGCCTTCATTTCTCAGAACAAGAATAGACTGACAAGTTTCAGAAGAAAGTTATTTCTTTCTGGCCATTTTGAGCCTGTAATCGAACCCACAATTGCTGATGCTCCAGATACTCAACTAGTCTCAAGAAGGCCAGTTTTATTGCATATTTAATCAGCACAACAGTTTTCAGCTGTGCTAACATAATTGCAAAAGGGTTTTCTAATGATCAATTAGCCTTTTAAAATGATAAACTTGGATTAGCAAACACAACGTGCCATTGGAACACAGGACTGATGGTTGCTGATAATGGGCCTCTGTACGCCTATGTAGATACTCCATTAAAAATCAGCCATTTCCAGCTTGTAATGATGTCATGTCATAGTATCGTGGGGACCAGGTTAGAGTTACTAGATAAGTGGCTTGGTGCCACGGAGTCTACATTCCGTTATGTCAAAGGAGATTACTGATGTTTATGATAGCATGATTGATGGACAGGATATACTGACTTGGGGTAAAGAGTAATAACATCAAAGAATGGGGAGTGCCCATGATGGGTACCAGATGTTCGTGGAGAGACTTGTAACAGAGGGTATATATAGAGAGAGTGGATCTTTGTTCTGGAGTTAGGAAGTTGGGAGAGGCAGGGCCATGTCTGTTATAACTAACCATGGTACCATATTAAATATCTTATATGAACTCCCCATCAAAAGTGTCTAAGTACTTCCTTACATTCGTAATCACTTGATACCCTAGAAACTCATCATAACACAGCTACAATAGCCATTTACAACATTAACAATGTCTACACTGTATTTCTGATCAATTTGATGTTATTTTAATGGACAAAAGAAATTGCTTTTCTTTCGAAAACAAGGACATTTCTAAGTGACCCCAAACTTTTGAACGGTAGTGTAGATGAGAACTCTCTTGGTAGATAGTATGGTCTACAGCTTATCATGAGGTACTCTACCTCAGGTGAGCAATACCTTGAGACTTCTTAATATTAGACATCACTCACCAGCTGTTATTGAAAAATAGACACACACCCCCGGCCCTCGTCTTACCAGACGTAGCTGTTCTGTCCTGCCGATGCACGGAAAACCCAGCTAACTGTATATTATCCGTGTCGTCGTTCAGTCACGACTCGGTGAAACATAAGATATTACAGTTTTTAATGTCCCGTTGGTAGGATAGTCTCGAACGGAGATCATCCAGTTTTTTCTCCAGTGTTTGCACGTTGGCCAATAGAACGGATGGTAGTGTCGGGTTACCAACTCGCTGACGAATTCTCACCAGGCACCCCGATCTCCGCCCCCTGTATTTCCGTCTTTTCTTCACGCGAATAACGGGGATTTGGGCCTGGACTCGGAGATGCAGTATATCCTTTGCGTTGGACTCATTCAATAAAAAATCTTCGTCCAGTTCGAGGTGAGTAATCGCTGTTCTGATGTCCAGAAGCTCTTTTCGGTCATAAGAGACGGTAGCAGCAACATTATGTACAAAAGAAGTTACAAACAATGTAAAAAAACACACAATATAGCACAGTTGGTTAGGAGCCCGTAAAACGGCAGCCATCCCCTCCGGCCGACTTTCTAATAATGGCGCCGATTTCAGTTATTTCAGTTAAATACAAACACCTACTAGGGTTACAGGGGCTGTGTATCAACAAGGTGTATTTTCTCTCTGTCCCTCCCTCCAGATGGCAGTTGGTGGACCCCATCAGTGCTGTGCTGTCTGACTGTCCAGAGGAGCTAGAGGAGTGGAGGAAGTCGGTGCTCTCTGCCGCCCTCCGGTGGCTGAGCTCCTCCTACAGTCACAACAGAGACCAGAACACGGCACCACTCACACAGGAAGACAGCATACTGAACAGACTAACGGTACTACTGGTGGGTCCACAGTCTATCATGCTAAAATACATGTTGTCCGTGTCCCAAATGACACCCTATTCCTTATATAGTGCACCACTTTTAACCAGAGCCCATAGGATGTTTTTTGTTGATATGTCAATGACTAAAATGTAAACGTAATGTTGGTTCTGTTGTACATTTTAGTCATCTTATCCAGAGCAATTTACAGTTAGTGAGTGCATACATTTTCGTACTGGTCCCCTGTGGGAATCGAACCCGCAATACTGGCGTTGCAAGCGCCATGCTCTACCAGCTAAGCCACACGGGTCTACATTGGTAACTCAGAAGCAAACTTTCCCCCCCTAGACTTTTCCAGAAGACATCACAGCAGCTGAATGGAACAGCTTTGTCAAGGCTGGACTGAAGTAAGTCATTGATCTTATTCTTTATTCAGACACATTCCTATTCAACAGAAGAGTTGTCTGTCAAGGGGTCTGTAGAGTATCAGATTTGATATATCTAACCTTTTTATTTCTCCGGGTTAGTCTGAGATGTATTTTCAACAGTAGATGTCTAGTGTTTAAACTGATCTTTTCCTTCCCAGGTGTCGCTATAGAGACCATAACTTCCTGAGCACCCTGAACAGCCTGTTGGATCTGATATATGGAGGTAGTGAAGGACCTAAAGACCTGCTGCCTCTGTCTACCATCCACACGATGGCCTCCAGCCACTCCCTGTTCCTACCCACCATGCTGGGAGCAGAGGAGGACCTTAGTGGGAACACACAGGTTAAAGGTACAGAACAGGACCTTAGTGGGAACACACAGGTTAAAGGATCAGAACATTTTGTTGCTCTCCATATGTTTTTTCTAACAGCCGATCCAGATCAGAATTTTGCTACTCCCAGAATTCTTTATCTAAGTGGTATTTTTGCCCAGCAACAGTTATTGAAGTGGTATTTTTGCCCAGCAACAGTTATCGAGGTGGTATTTTTGCCCAGCAACAGTTATCGAAGTGGTCTTTTTTGCCCAGCAACAGTTATCGAGGTGGTATTTTTTCCCAGCAACAGTTATCGAAGTGGTCTTTTTTTCCTTGAAAAGTTATCTAAGTGTTTTTTTTCTCCCAGCAACAGTTATCTAAATGGTATTTTCGCCCAGCAACAGTTATCTAAGGGGTATTTTGCCCAGCAGTTATCTAAGTGGTATTTTTGGCCAACAACAGTTATCTAAGTGGTATTGTTTCCCAGGAACAGTTATCTAAGTGGTATCTTTGCCTAGCAACAGGTTTCTAAGTGGGATGTGCATACCCCCCTCGTTTTCTCCTTTCACTTCTAGATCATACCGATATAACCATAACTATAATATGTAACACACTAAACATGTAACACACTAAACACTGTATGTAACACGCTAAACACTGTATGTAACACGCTAAACACTGTATGTAACACGCTAAACACTGTATGTAACACACTAAACACTGTATGTAACACGCTAAACACTGTATGTAACACACTAAACACTGTATGTAACACGCTAAACACTATGTAACACGCTAAACACTGTATGTAACACACTAAACACTGTATGTAACACACTAAACACTGTATGTAACACACTAAACACTGTGTAACACGCTAAACACTATGTAACACGCTAAACACTATGTAACACGCTAAACACTATGTAACACGCTAAACACTGTATGTAACACGCTAAACACTGTATGTAACATGCTAAACACTGTATGTAACACACTAAACACTGTATGTAACACGCTAAACACTGTATGTAACACACTAAACACTGTATGTAACACGCTAAACACTGTATGTAACACACTAAACACTGTATGTAACACGCTAAACACTGTATGTAACACGCTAAACCACGTATGTAACACGCTAAACACTGTATGTAACCCGCTAACACTGTATGTAACACACTAAACACTGTATGTAACACAGCTAAACACTGTGTAACACCGCTAAACACTATGTAACACGCTAAACCTATGTAACACGCTAAACACTGATGTACACGCTAACACTGTATGTAAACATGCTAAACACTGTATGTAATTAACACTGTAATGTAACACACTAACACTGTATGTAACACGCCTAAACAACTGTATGTAACACACTAAACACTGTATGTAACACGCTAAACACTGTAGTAACACACTAAACACTGTATTTAACACGCTAAACACTGTATGTAACACGCTAAAACACTGTATGTAACACTAAACACTGTATGTAACACGCTAAACACTGTATGTAACACGCTAAACACTGTATGTAACACGCTAAACACTGTATGTAACACGCTAAACACTGTATGTAACATGCTAAACACTGTATGGAACACGCTAAACACTGTATGTAACACGCTAAACACTGTATGTAACACGCTAAACACTGTATGCAACACGCTAAACACTATGTAACACGCTAAACACTGTATGTAACACGCTAAACACTATGTAACACACTAAACACTGTATGTAACACGCTAAACACTGTATGGAACACGCTAAACACTGTATGGAACACGCTAAACACTGTATGTAACACGCTAAACACTATGTAACACACAGCTCTGTCTGTTATCTCTTCCAGAGGCCCTGGTCTCTCTCCTGCTCAGCCTAGTGAAGAGAAGTCCCGCTGTCTGTAACAGCAACCACTTTGTGGTCATACTGGGAGCGTATGGCGCTACACTGAGTACTACAGGTAACCGAGCTGTTCCTGTGGGGTTTTAAATGTCTTCTATTCCACAGTGGCTAACATGTATTTTCTGTGCAGATCAGAAACTGTTACTGCTGCTGCAGGAGTATGAAGATAACAGCATCAGTCTGGTAGACTTTCAGTAAGTTTATGAATCTATTAACTTTCATCTCAATAAGTTGCGTGTGGCCACGTGCGTGCTATTACACTGATATCTCTGTGTGTGTGTGACCTGCAGGTGCATGCTGTGGGGCCCAGCGGCGGTGGAGCACCATAAGGCCCGGAAAAGCCTGGGCGTTTCCTTGTGGCAGCAACCCAGCTCTGAGGACCTCCTGGCCCTGCTCAGCCCTGACACCATGATCAACACCATTACTCACTTTCCCCTGCAGCGCAGGATCATCCTGCAGGTAACCAACACACACACACACACACACACACACACACACACACACTTTTATGAGACTTATTTATAATGTTTAGACCCTGGAGTTTTTCCTGAACATGTGACCTGACAAAGAAAGGACTCTGGACCTTTTTAATTAAACTATAACTAGACTAACTAGTGCCCAGATTCTCACCTGTTTTCTATATTCTGGGAAAACTCTTGGCCCTGTTCATGTATTATAACGTGGTGCAACATAAGATGGCTTTGTGAGGGGGGCCACACTCATCCGTCTTCTTCAACAGGAGGGTAAAGAGCTGCTTTTCAAAGATGAGGAAGTGAAGGATCTTGGGAGTGTGTACGACCCCTGTTTCCTCCTGCCTCTCTTCAGTGCTATGCTCCAGCCAGGTGACTACTACCATTTAACAAACACCTGAATATAATTTAAACATCCAAGCATTTAAACATCCAAGCATTTAAACATCCAAGCATTTAAACATTAAAGCATGTAAACCTCAAAGCATGTAAACATCAAAGCATGCAAACATCACAGCATTAAAACATCAAAGCATTAAAACATAAAATAATTTAAACATCAAAGCATTTAAACATCTAAGCATTTAAACATCAACGCATTTAAACATCAAAGCATTTAAACATCCATGCATTTAAACATCACATCATTTAAACATCACATCATTTAAACATCAACACATTTAAACATCAAAGCATTTAAACATCAACATATTTAAACATCAAATCATTTAAACATCAACATATTTAAACATCAACGTATTTAAACATCAAAGCATTTAAACATCAAAGCATTTAAACATCAAAGCATTTAAACATCAACACATTTAAACATCAAATCAAATCAAATCAAATCAAATCAAATTTTATTGGTCACATGCGCCGAATACAACAGGTGCAGACATTACAGTGAAATGCTTACTTACAGCCCTTAACCAACAGTGCATTTATTTTAAACAAAAAAGTAAGAATAAAACAACAACAAAAAAGTGTTGAGAAAAAAAGAGCAGAAGTAAAAATAAAGTGACAGTAGGGAGGCTATATATACAATAGAATAAAGTGACAGTAGGGAGGCTATATATACAGGGGGGTACCGTTGCATAGTCAATGTGCGGGGGCACCGGCTAGTTGAGGTAGTTGAGGTAATATGTACATGTGGGTAGAGTTAAAGTGACTATGCATAAATACTTAACAGAGTAGCAGCAGCGTAAAAAGTATGGGGTGGGGGGGCAGTGCAAATAGTCCGGGTAGCCATGATTAGCTGTTCAGGAGTCTTATGGCTTGGGGGTAGAAGCTGTTGAGAAGTCTTTTGGACCTAGACTTGGCACTCCGGTACCGCTTGCCGTGCGGTAGCAGAGAGAACAGTCTATGACTAGGGTGACTGGAGTCTTTGACAATTTTGAGGGCCTTCCTCTGACACCGCCTGGTATAGAGGTCCTGGATGGCAGGGAGCTTTGCCCCTGTGATGTACTGGGCCGTACGCACTACCCTCTGTAGTGCCTTGCGGTCAGAGGCCAAGCAGTTGCCATACCAGGCGGTGATGCAACCAGTCAGGATGCTCTCGATGGTGCAGCTGTAGAATTTTTTGAGGATCTGAGGACCCATGCCAAATCTTTTTAGTCTCCTGAGGGGGAATAGGCTTTGTCGTGCCCTCTTCACGACTGTCTTGGTGTGTTTGGACCATGATAGTTCGTTGGTGATGTGGACACCAAGGAACTTGAAGCTCTCAACCTGTTCCACTACAGCCCCGTCGATGAGAATGGGGGCGTGCTCAGTCCTCTTTTTTTTCCTGTAGTCCACAATCATCTCCTTTGTCTTGGTCACGTTGAGGGAGAGGTTGTTGTCCTGGCACCACACGGCCAGATCTCTGACCTCCCTATAGGCTGTCTCATCGTTGTCGGTGATCAGGCCTACCACTGTTGTGTCGTCGGCAAACTTAATGATGGTGTTGGAGTCGTGCCTGGCCATGCAGTCATGGGTGAACAGAGAGTACAGGAGGGGACTGAGCACGCACCCCTGAGGGGCCCCCGTGTTGAGGATCAGTGTGGCAGATGTGTTGTTACCTACCCTTACCACCTGGGGGCGGCCCGTCAGGAAGTCCAGGATCCAGTTGCAGAGGGAGGTGTTTAGTCCCAGGATCCTTAGCTTAGTGATGAGCTTTGAGGGCACTATGGTGTTGAATGCTGAGCTGTAGTCAATGAATAGCATTTAAACATCAAATCATTTAAACATCAATCATTTAAACATCTAAGCATTTAAACATCAAAGCATTTAAACATTGAAGCATTTAAACATCAAAGCATTTAAACATCAACACATTTAAACATCAAAGCATTTAAACATCAAAGCATTTAAACATCAAATCATTTAAACATCAAAGCATTTAAACATAAACATATTTAAACATAAAAGCATTTAAACATCAACGCATTTAAACATCAAAGCATTTAAACATCAACACATTTAAACATCAAATCATTTAAACATCAAAGCATTTAAACATAAACATATTTAAACATCAAAGCATTTAAACATCAACACATTTAAACATCAAATCATTTAAACATCAAAGCATTTAAACATTGAAGCATTTAAACATCACACTTAACTGAAACATTTGACACAGTCAAAAAAAGATGGAGACATGAAAACAAGAATTGACATGGTTAAAAAGACATTATCAAAATAATACCGAAGTAATTATACTGTGAAACTAAAGAGTTACATTAGGTCAGGCTAAAAACGTCTTCGGCGCTTCTTTAGCACCAATATAGTTGTTTGTGAAACCACTTCTTTAGTGAATCACTAAATCCCTGACTATGGGACATCTAAATGCACTCTGTTACGTTGAACCAATGATGTTGTTACTGCACAGCCTTCAGCTGAACCAAACTGTTGTCTTTCCTCCCCCCCCCTCCCCTGTGACAGAGTCTGTGATAGACTGTCTGAAGTTTGTGTCCAGTCACGGCCTTGGTGTCACGATGGTGTCCCTGAGTAGTTATGACCCCAAGCTGAGGGCCGCAGCCTACCAGGTTCTAGCTTCATACTACCATCACCTGGAGGCTGCTCGCTTCAGGGAGAAGAGACAGGTACACACACACACACACACACACAGACACACACACACACACACACACACAACAGACACAGACACACAGACACACACACACACACACACACGTATGCACGCTCACACACACAGACTGATCTCTCGTTATTTGCGGTTCATCTCATGTGATTTACTTTACTTTTTGATATTATATTTAGAGAGAGAGAGATGGTGACATATACTGAGTGTACGAAACATTAGGAACACCTTCCTAATATTTAGTTGCACCCCCTTTTTGCCCTCAGAACAGCCTCAATTCGTCAGGGGCATGGACTCTACAAGGTGTCGAAAGCGCTCCACAGGGATGCTGGCCCCATGTTGACTCCAATGCTTCCCACAGTTGTGTCAAGTTGGCTGGATGTCCTTTGGGTTGTGGACCATTTTTGATACACACAGGAAACTGTTAAGCGTGAAAAACCCAACAGCGTTACAGTTCTTGACACGAACCGGTGCGCCTGGCACCTACTACCATACCCCGTTCAAAGGCACTTAAATATTTTGTCTTGCCCATTCACCCTCTGAATGGCACACATACACAATCCATGTCTCAAGGCTTAAAAATCCTTCTTTAACCCGTCTCCTCCCCTTCATCTACACTGATTGAAGTGGATTTAACAAGTGACATCCAATAAGGGATCATAGCTTTCACCTGGATTCACCTGGTCAGTCTGTCATGGAAAGAGCAGGTGTTCCTAATGTTTTGTACACTCAGTGTATATAATGAATAGTGTGTCAGTTCAGATATCGCCTTGTACGAGTGGTAATGTTCTGTAATAACCAGATGTCTCTCTGTGTCTCCAGCTGCTCTACCTGCTGGACATGGTGAAGAATGGGATCAGACAGCAGAACCTCAGGATGCCCTTCGTACTGACCACATACATCACCAAGGTGGCCCAGCAGATGCTGAAACCAGAGGAGCACATGTATGTGGTGGTGAACAGGTTCCTGCTCTCCCACCAGTGTCTGGACTTCAGAAGGGTTCCGGAGTCTTCAAACTGTTCTATAGCTATGACATGGAGGTACAGTATTATAGTATTATAGTAGAATAGTATTACAGTAGTATAGTAGTACAGTATTACAGTAGTATAGTAGTACAGTATTACAGTAGTATAGTAGTACAGTAGTATAGAGTATTAGTAGTAGTAGTACAGTTAAGTAATAGTAGTAAGTTAGTACAGTTAGTTTATAGTACAGTATATACTGTATATGTTAGTGTACATAGTAAGTAGTATAGTAGTAAGTAGTATAAGTAGTACAGTAGTATAGTAGTACAGTAGTACAGTAGTATAGTAGTACAGTATTAGGGTTATAGTAGTACAGTATTACAGTGTTATAGTGTTAGTGTTACATGTACGTATAGTACGTAGTAGTAGTACAGTAGTACTAGTAGTACAGTAGTATAGTAGTATAGTAGTAATAGTATAGTAGTAGAGTAAGTAGTACAGTATTCAGTAGTAGTAGATAGTAGTCAGTCAGTTAGTGTATGTTACATTAGTCAGTAGTATATAGTATAGTATTTGTCAGTAGTATAGTAGTTAGTAAGTAGTACATAAGTATAGTAGTATGTGTACAGTAGTACAGTAGTACAGTAGTAATAGTAGTTAGTAGTTACATTAGTCAGTAGTATAGTAAGTAGTATTGTAGTACAGTAGTATAGTATAGTCTAAGTAGTACAGTAGTATAGTAGTATAGTGTTAGTGTTATAGTAGTATAGTGTTAGTGGTACAATGGTATAGTAGTATAGTAGTATAGTAGTAAAGTAGTAAAGTCGTATAGTAGTATATTGTTAGTGTTACAGTAGTATAGTAGTACAGTATTATAGTAGTACAGTGTTAGTGTTACAGTAGTATAGCAGTATAGTAGTACAGTAGTATAGTGTTAGTGGTATAGTAGTCGTGTTACAGTAGTATATTAGTACAGTGGGATAGTGTTAATGTTACAGTAGTACAGTGTTACATTAGTGCAGTAGTATAGTAATATAGTATTTGTTACAGTAGTATAGTATTAGTTATACAGTAGTACATACGTATAGTATTAGTGTTACAGTATTATAGTAGTATAGTATGTGTTACAGTAGTACATTATTACAGTAGTACAGTAGTATAGTGTTACAGTAGTATAGTATTAGTGTTACAGTAGTAGTGTTTACATTAACTAACGTTTTACAGTAGTCAGTCAATACACACCCTGACTCCTGCAAGTGCCTTTGGCCCATAGTTAGACTCTCGGTCCTCATATTAAAATCCCTGGCTTAGTTAGCCCTAAGTGTTGACTCAGCATATAGTACGGTATTACTATTATCATTATCTATTATCCCTGACGTATTTCCATAGGTTTACCTAGTTATTAATTACTAGTATTCATAGGTTTTACGTAGTCATTAACCTACAGTATCCACTAGTTTGACACGTATGTCTATTAATCCCTGATGTATTCCACTGTACTCGTTCCTATTTAATCTGACAGTATTCCACTAGTGTACGTCTAGTCCTAGTTTAGCCTATCAGTATGTACTAGGTTATATCTAGTCTATGTTAAGTGCCTACTGTATTCCACTAGTTATACTCTAGTCCATTATCAGCTGACGTTATTCCACTAGTTATACTCTAGTCTATTGTAATCCCTATGTATTCCACTTAGGTTTATTATCTAGTCCTATTTAATCTGACAGTATTCACTAGTTTTAATCTAGTCTATTATCATCTGACAGTATTCAACTATGTATTGTGACTCTAGTCCTATTTTAATCATGACTAGTATTTTCCACTAGGTTTGTACTCTAGTCCTATTTAATCCCTGAGTATTCCACTAGGTTTAGCTCAGTCATATTTATCCCTGACTGTATTTCAGCACTAGGTTTTAGTACTCTATGTAGTCTATTAATCACGTGACAGTATTCATAGTTATACTTAGTTCCTAGTTTATCCTGACAGTTATCACTAGTTAGTACTCATAGTCCTATTTAATCATACTGTATTCCACTAGGTTTACTTATCTATTTATATCCTGACAGTATTGCACTAGTTTGTTACTAGTCCTATTTACATCCCTACTAGTATTACAGTAGGTTTGACTCTAGTCTATTTAAGTCCCTGACAGTATATCCACTAGGTTTTATCTAGTCCTATTTAATCCCTGACAGTATTCCACTAGGTTTACTCTAGTCTATTTATCTGACGTATATTCCACTAGGTTTTATATACTTAGTCCTATTTAATCCCTTGTGATTCCATAGTTATTACTTAGTTCATATTTATAATCCCTACAGTATTCACTAGGTTTTAACGTTAGTACTATAATCCTGACAGTATTCCACTAATGGTTTTACTCTAGTCCTGATTTATCCCTTGACAGTAGTCCATAGGTTTTACTACTTAGTCCTATTTAAGTCCCTGACTGTATTCCACGTAGGTTATTTAATACTAGTCCTATTTAATCCCTGACAGTAATTCCACTAGGTTTGACTCTAGTCACTAGTTAATCCCTGGACAGTATTCCACTATGGTTTACTCTAGGTCCTATTTATCCCTGACAGTATTCCACTAGGTGACTCTAGCTATTAATCCTGACTGTATTCCACAGGTATACTCTAGTCACTTTAATCCTGACAGTATTCACTAGGTTTTACTCTAGTCCTATTTAATCTCTATGACAGTATTCCATAGGTTTTACTCTAGTCCTATTTAATCCCTGCAGTATCCACTAGTTTTGATACTCTAGTCTATTAATCCCTGCACAGTATCACTAGTTACTCTAGTCCTAGTTAATCCTGACTCGTACCTAGTTTGATTCTAGTCCTATTTTAATCTGACTGTATTCCACTAGGTTATACTTAGTCCTATTTAACCTGACAGTAGTCACTAGTTACTCTAGTCCTATTTAATCCTGACTGTATTTATCCACTAGGTTATAATCTAGTCCTATTTAATCCCTGACAGTGTTATTCATAGGTTATACTGTCTAGTCTTATTTATTAATCCTGACAGTGTATTCAACTAGGTTAGATACGTATAGGTCCTATTTAATCCTTTACTGTACAGTATTCACTAGGTTTTACTCTAGTCTATTAATCCATCCCTGACAGTATTCACTAGGTTTTACTCTAGTCCTATTTAATCCCTGACAGTATTCCACTAGGTTTATACTCTAGTCCTATTTTTAATCCCTGACAGTATTCCACTATGTTTGACTCTAGTCCTATTTAATCCCTGACAGTATGCCACTAGGTTTTACTCTAGTCCTATTTAATCCCTGACAGTATTCCACTAGTTTATACTCTAGTCCTATTTAATCCCTGACAGTATTCCACTAGGTTTACTCTAGTCCTATTTAATCCCTGACTGTATTCCACTAGGTTTTACTCTAGTTCTATTTAATCCCCTGACAGTATTCCACTAGGTTTTTACTCTAGTCCTATTTAATCCCTGACAGTATTCCACTAGGTTTTACTCTAGTCCTATTTAATCCCTGACATATCCACTAGGTTTACTCTAGTCCTATTTAATCCTGACTGTATTCCACTAGGTTTTACTCTAGTCCTATTTAATCCTGCAGTATTCCACTAGGTTTTTACTCTAGTCCTATTTAATCCCTGACAGTATTCCACTAGTTTTTACTCTAGTCCTATTTAATCCCTGACGTATTCCCTAGGTTTACTCTAGTCCTATTTAATCCCTGACTGTATTCCACTAGGTTTTACTCTAGTCCTATTTAATCCTGAACAGTATTCCACTAGGTTTTACTCTAGTCCTATTTAAATCCCTGGACAGTATTCCACTAGGTTTTTACTCTAGTCCTATTTAATCCCTGACAGTATTCCACTAGTTTTGACTCTAGTCCTATTTAATCCCTGACAGTTATTCCACTAGGTTTTACTCTAGTCCTATTTAATCCCTGACTGTATTCCACTAGGTTTACTCTAGTCCTATTTAATCCCTGACTGTATTCCACTAGGTTTACTCTAGTCCTATTTAATCCCTGACAGTATTCCACTAGGTTTTACTCTAGTCCTATTTAATCCCTGACTGTATTCCACTAGGTTTTACTCTAGTCCTATTTAATCCCTGACAGTATTCCACTAGGTTTTACTCTAGTCCTATTTAATCCCTGACAGTATTCCACTAGGTTTTACTCTAGTCCTATTTAATCCCTGACAGTATTCCACTAGTTTTACTCTAGTCCTATTTAATCCCTGACAGTATTCCACTAGGTTTTACTCTAGTCCTATTTAATCCCTGACAGTATTCCACTAGGTTTTACTCTAGTCCTATTTAATCCCTGACAGTATTCCACTAGGTTTTACTCTAGTCCTATTTAATCCCTGACAGTATTCCACTAGGTTTACTCTAGTCCTATTTAATCCCGACAGTATTCCACTAGGTTGACTCTAGTCCTATTTAATCCTGACAGTTTCCACTAGGTTTTACTCTAGTCCTATTTAAACCCTGACAGTATTCCACTAGGTTTGACTCTAGTCCTATTTAATCCCTGACAGTATTCCACTAGGTTTTACTCTAGTCCTATTTAAACCCTGACAGTATTCCACTAGGTTTGACTCTAGTCCTATTTAATCCCTGACAGTATTCCACTAGGTTTACTCTAGTCCTATTTAATCCCTGACAGTATTCCACTAGGTTTTACTCTAGTCCTATTTAATCCCTGACAGTATTCCACTAGGTTTTACTCTAGTCCTATTTAATCCCTGACAGTATTCCACTAGGTTTTACTCTAGTCCTATTTAATCCCTGACAGTATTCCACTAGGTTTGACTCTAGTCCTATTTAATCCCTGACAGTATTCCACTAGGTTTTGACTCTAGTCCTATTTAATCCCTGACAGTATTCCACTAGGTTTTACTCTAGTCCTATTTAATCCTGACGTATTCCACTAGGTTTACTCTAGTCCTATTTAATCCCTGACAGTATTCCACTAGGTTTTACTCTAGTCCTATTTAATCCCTG